GTGTAAAAGATACAGAAAACACAATCCTTGTCCTCAAACTAAGGTGTAGGCTTGGGCCTAATGAGTGAGTGCACAAGATACGAAAACACACAAAAAGACATAAAACTAAGCAATTTACCAACAAGTAAAAATTAATAATTACTATAAGACATAAATATGCAAAGAAGAACTGGGACTGATGTGGGTTAATCACAGAAAGTTCTATGCAGAAGAATTTTAAGAATCAGGATTTTAAAAGCAGAAGGAACCCAGATAGTCTGAGAAGAGACCTGAAGCTTGGAATGGGATTCTGAAACAAGGCTCTTTACCTTCCAAGTGTTGGGGGGTAGGTTCCCTGTTCACAAGGCTCCAACCCCCTGAGGCCTCCACTCAGTGTCACTCAGGAGACGCTCCCAGTAACCCATCTTGTTGGCTATTGTCCGACCGAGTCTTCCTTCTTAGTGACAAGCTCCATCGCCAAGGGGATGGATGTGATGTCACAATCAGGAGCACTCTATTAATAGGAACAAGGAAGAAAAAGGTGAGTCAGGGGAACTACCTCCACCAGGCAGTGAGACTAGACAGACATAGATCTGGCGGTTGGATGAAGAGGATGAGACGATTTCATTAAGGGCAACAGGTTTCAGAGCTGGGGACACAAAACTGCCTTCTAAGGATGGAGATCACTGGCTAAGGAATCTCAGACTCACACACACAATCCAGGAGATTCAAACATAGCTGAGACAGGCAGAGAAAGGGACAAGAAAAAAGGTAAAAAAGAGCTGTTTGAGACAGAAGAAGATTCTCGTATTCAGCGCACACAACCACAAGGAATGTCAATGATTCCAGATCTGTGGCTGTACAATGCAGAGATCAACGAAAGCTTACACGCAGAGTAGAATGCTTTAATGTTTCCCAAAGGCTTTCACAAAAATTACCGAAATCATGTAAAAAGAATTCTAATCCTACCCTCTGCCTGGAAAATACTATTTCATAAGAAGAAGATACTCAAGAATGTTCATACAGGTATGAATCTAGTTTCCAAGTCTGAAAATATTCCTGACAGGATCAGGCTCTAAAAAAGAAGAGGAAGAGGTAATGAAATGGGAAATTACTCCTGAGTGGGCGACTAGGAAGACTAGAGGTATGATTAGGAAGATTAGACTCTCATTGCTAAGAGAATGACACCAAGTAAAGGGGGACAGGCTTCAGATGAAGTGTGCTGTGAGGTCTACTCAATACTACTACACAGGAGAATAGTAACTGTTCAAACTCCCTTCCTCCCCATCATATGGCCATCAACAGATTAAGGGCTGTGTTACAAAGCAAAAGGATGATGATAATTTTTATGCATAAAACTGAGACCATTTCTTCTTCTGAGTCTGGTACTCATGCTCATTAGTTTACTATGCTCATCAGCCAAACACATTTAGTGTGGTATTTTCAAACCAGAGAGATAAAGGTGTAATGTCGGACACATTTTCTCTTTGGGGGTAGGGAGGAAGTTGTTTCTCCCTCACCCATAACACAAGAGGAGTGTAATGCTGCCCTCATTTTGACAACACCGTATTTCCCAACAGCCTGGCATATGCACCTGTACTTCACGAAATGCTTCCAGGAACCACTGTTGGTGGCTCTGCTCAGTCTTCTAGTGACAAGCTCCAGACTCAGCAAGCAAATCTTGCCCATGCTGGAATGCTCCCTTAGCCAGAAGAAAACAGGAGTTTTCAACTAAGAGGAGGACCAGGAGTTAGGAGACCTGGGTTCTGGTCCCAGCTCTGCCAACTGCAGGCCTTTAAACAAGTCACGTAACTCTTCTGTAGTTTTCAATGTCTTCACCTGACAAGTAGGAAAGATACCTGCCTTTATCTACCTTACATGTCGTCCTGGAAAATCAAAGACATAATAAATGTGAAGACATACTGAATACAGCTGTGTTTCAGGTAGGGCATTTGTAACAATAGAATGCAAAATAAATTTAGAGTACTGGAGGCTAGTGAGGAAATGCTTGAAAGCAGCTTATTCCTTTCAATGACCAAGAACCAGCCCCAGACACAAAGTCTGGCTGGACACACAGAGTAGTAACATCATCACATCCCTCAGATTCCTGTCCACTAGTCTACCCCATTCCCATCTGGGGGAAAACTATCAGCCAGCGACACTATCGACTTCTTGCCTAAAACCACCTGTATAGGACCACCACTACCGCAGCCCAGTCCCTTGGGCAAACACTCTCACCTCTCTCGGCTTTCTGCTCCTCCGTCAGCCCCCTCCCCCTTCCCCAGTTTCGCAGAGTGCTGGGTTAGGGCAGGCTCTCTGGTGTGTGAAGCCTGCGAAAACGGCCCGGTTGCAAAGCCAAGGAAGGGATGTAAGGAATGTGAGATTCCTTCAAGGAGGGGGGCGGGGGAAGGAATGGAGGAAGACAAGGCTGCCAAGGACCAGGCACGGGAGAGGAGCCAAGCTCGGCGCGGCGAGGGCGGGGGCTCAAGTTCCACCGCCCCTGCCCAGGCTACCCCACAACGTCCCCTCCCCTCCCAGCCCGCCGTCACTGCCATTTAAACACCACGTTGTAGCCCCAGGTCCCCTCCTCCCCGTCCTCCCGTCGGCCAGGCCCCCTCCCGCACCCGCCTCCCCTACTCCAGTGGACCTCCGCAGCAGCGCAACCTCCAGCACCCCTTCCTCACCTCCGACTCCTCCCTATTCCCGCTCCCTTCCTCCATTCCTCATCTCTGCTCCCGTCCCTTGTCCCGACCTCCGGTATCTCGAGCCCCGGTCCCAACCCCCGCGGGACATCGCCCCCTCCCGTCCCACAGCCTCGTAGGCGGGAGCCGGCGCAGGCGCAGTACGCACCGCCCTGGAAGCGGTCTGGACCGTCCGCACCCCGGCCCGGCTGGAGCGGAGGCCGCGGCGGCCGCGGGAGAGCGCCGGTGCCGGTCCCGGCCTATCCTGGGAGGGGAAGGGGAAGGGGAAGACGAGGGAGGGTCCCAGCCACTCGCCGCCGTGCGCGGAGGGCCCCTCGCCCCGCCCACCGCTGCTACGCAACCCGGCGGAAGCTCGTCATCAGGCCCCGCCCACCGCTGCTACGCAACCCGGCGGAAGCTCGTCACCAAGCCCCGCCTCCTCGCCCAAGTCGGATCTGGACTAGAGGCCGCGAGCGACCAACGAGGAGGCGGGGAGGCCGGCCGGGCCTCCTCTCTCGGCCGGAAATGTTTATGATCCCGACGCGGACTCTGTAGCCATGTGGGAGAGAGGACTCGGTGCTTCCCAGCGCCAGTGTGGGGGCGGAGCCCGAGGCGGACTCCCAGGGGGGCTGGACCTGGCGGTGGAGCGGCGTCCAGCCGGCTCTCCTGGGGTTGGCCGGGTGCGAGGTCGCGACGGGGGCTGGCCTGCAGCGGGGCCGGCCGTCTGCTGTTTCCAGAGCGTTGGCCTCCGTCCCGGAGCCTCCCGACCCCGTGATTTATAGTCGCGGGAGAGGATAGTGTAGTCTACTGGGCGACCACTGGGTGGAGGACGGGGGAGCGGCTCGCCGCAGAGCTCTGATCTGGGGTGCCCACCGGGTGGCTGCCTCGCTCCTAGACGCAGAGTTCCCTGAAACACCCAAGGGGAGGGGCGATAGGATGTCCCTCTTCCTAGGGACACAACACGGTAATTGAGGGCGTGGGCGGGAGAGAACCTGGGACCCGAGGAAAGTCAGGCCGAGCCTAAAGCGCTCCGGACGGTAAGGAATTAATCAAGCCAAGACATTACAATGACATGACCTGCTAGGCTAATCTGATATTAGTATTTGTTTTTGGATGTTCGCTAAACAAATGGTTGTGGTTTGTGTATGTGTAATTGGCTTATACACAACCCTACCGAGCTGGAGTGTTCTGTTGATGTTCTGACAAGTCCCAAAGGGCCTCCTCTGTTAACTCCTTCCGGGGGCGGGGAGACCCTGGGCTCTAGGTAGATAAGTGCATTAGGAAGAGGAGAGGGACTAAGGCAAATGCTCTTCTTTGTGCCCCGGGTTCCATTCTTCCAAAAACGCTGAGGCAGCCTCTGGTGTGAAGGCAGCTTTTTCCAAAACCGTTACGAAGCTGGGGGGGGGGGCATTAAAGATGACCCCAAGGGACGCCTGGGTGGCTCAGCGGTTGAGCGTAGTCAGCCCGGGGCGTGACCCCGGGGACGCAGGACCGAGTCCTGCTGGAGCCTGCTCCTCCCTCTGCTTGTGCCTCTGCCTCTCATGAATAAATAAAATCTTCACTAAAAAAGAAAAAAAGAGGGATCCCTGGGTGGCGCAGCGGTTTGGCGCCTGCCTTTGGCCCAGGGCGCGATCCTGGAGACCCGGGATCGAATCCCACGTTGGGCTCCCGGTGCATGGAGCCTGCTTCTCCCTCTGCCTGTGTCTCTGCCCCTCTGTGTGTGTGTATGTGTGTGTGACTATCATAAATAAATAAAAATTAAAAAAATAAAAATAAAAGACCCCAAATCAGTAATAAAGGTGAGCGTCATAGCAGTGGGAGAAGGAGCTGTGCCTGCTGTGGGCTAAGCACTGCTTTTTATATAACCTAGGTTTTCTTGTCTGCAAAACGGAATTCCATATTTAAGAATTGTCGAGAAAATAAGTGAAGCGCTGAGATGGTTTCCGACTTTTGTCCGCCGTCTTAGAAATAGTCTTGGAGCCTGCGTGTAGCTTCCCCGTTAAGGAAGCAAAGCTGGGCCCGAGGCGCCTCCTGGTGGTCGGCCTTCGCGCGGCGCCATCCCGCCGCGGGGCTCCTTTAACACTTGAGGTCCGCCTCTCGCCGCGCGGGAAGCCGGGCCCCCATTGGCTCCGCGGGGGCGGGCGCGGGGCGCACGGGGACGCTGCTGATTGGCCGCAGGGCAGCCGGGACTTCCGGGAGTGGCGGCGCTCGCGCGTCCCCGGCTTCCGCCGGCGGCGGGGCCTGGGGCTCCCCCTGCGGGCGGCTGTGCGGCGGGCGCCGGCCGGCCCGCGGGCTGGGGGGTGGGCTGTGGCGGGGGGATGGGCCGGGCCCCGGCGGGTGCGGACGCGTGTGCGGACGAGGGCTCGGGAAGGTTTGGCGGCTGAGACTCCGCTGCTCCGAGCTGCTGCGCCGGCTTCCCCGCCCCGTCTCCTGCCGCCCCCCGACTCGGGGGCTTGAGCCTGAGAGCGTCCCGGGCCGGGCCTTCCAGCCCCGAAGCAGCCCACCCAGAGGGCCCTGGACTCCGATCGCGAGGTCGGAGGCTCCGGGGAAGTTCTTCGGACCTTCGAGAAGAACTCGAGGACTTGCGGCTGCCCGACCCGAGCCTAGCGTGGTAGGTAGGCCCTGGGAGTGGGGCCCGGGGCGAAGACCCCACGCCTGGAGCCCTCATCCCCCGCCCCCCCCCCCCCCAGGGTAGCGCCGAGGCTCGGGCAGCATGACGACGGAGACCTTCGTGAAGGATATCAAGCCCGGGCTCAAGAATCTGAACCTCATCTTCATTGTGCTGGAGACAGGTGGCTATTCGGGGTCGGCGGGCCCCGCGCGCGGTCCTCGGGCGGGGAGGGCAGCCGGGGGGACACCACCTCGGCGCCTAGCCAGCCAGCGGGATGTGGGGCGCAGCCCAGGCGACCGCTCCTGCCGGGCCTCTCCGAGAGCCGGCCTGGAGGGCTGTAGCCGAATGCAGGGCCGGGGAACTGGCCAGACCCAGGCCTCCCGCGCCGCTCAGGCCCCTCTCCATGGTGCTGCCCCTCCGGCCCCCTCCGCCCACAATCCGATGATCCCTCTTCCTGCCGCCCGCCCCACCGTTGATCTGTTCCCTTCAGGCCGAGTGACCAAGACAAAGGACGGGCACGAGGTTCGGACCTGCAAAGTGGCAGACAAAACAGGCAGCATCAATATCTCTGTCTGGGACGACGTGGGCAACCTGATCCAGCCTGGAGACATTATTCGGCTCACCAAAGGGTAATTCCTGGTTATCCGAGGGCTGTAACAGGCAAGGAGGGTTGAGTTAAAAGTGAACCACCCCTGTAACTCGTGGAGTATCCTGAATCCTACTTTTTTGCCCACCCACAGGTACGCTTCAGTGTTCAAAGGCTGTCTCACACTATACACTGGACGTGGTGGTGACCTTCAGAAGATTGGAGAGTAAGTGTCTTGGGCATTGGGATGTAGAAGCAGGAGGCCAAGGGAGTAAGTTTAAGGTTTGCAATGAGGCAGCATAAGGGTGTCCAGTCCATGTCTTATACGTGGACCTTTCTGAGGCCTCCAGCAGCGGCCCAGAGGCTGAGTCTGAGGCTTTAGCCAATTTCTCCCCTTGCAGATTCTGTATGGTTTATTCTGAGGTTCCTAACTTCAGTGAGCCAAACCCAGAGTACAGCGCCCAGCAGGCACCCAACAAGACGGTGAGTCCCATGGCCCTGATGTGGGGAAGGGAGGGCAGGTCAGGCCAGAAGCATGGTGGGGAGCAAGGTCTGAGTATTTACTTTGTGCCTTCAGGTGCAGAACGACAGCAGCCCCACAGCTCCGCAGTCTGCCACAGGACCGCCTGCCGTCTCTCCAGGTACACCTGTTCCCTTCTACTCAGTTTGTCCTAGCTCCTCTTCTCTCCCCAGCCTGAAAAGATGCATTGTTCTCAACCGCTTTCCCAGTTTCTCTTCTCTCAATGTATCCCCTTCCACCCAATTCTTCTCCCAGTTCTTTTAGAAGTCCTTGTGGGGAAAAGATTTAGAGACTTGTTTCTATCACTGATAGAGCTCTGGTACTCTTTTGCCACTACCACTCAAAGACACAAATGAGAACAGTTCTTCCGCAAGATGGCACTCCTTCTTTCAAACTTGTTTCTCTGCTTCTTTGGTGGGTCCTTGACCTTTTCTCCTTGCCCACCGCCCCCCCACACCAGCTTTTTTTGGGGTATTTATTCATTCATTCATTCGAGACACAGAGAAAGAGGCAAAGACACAGGCAGGGGAGAAGCAGCCTCTTCACAGGGAGCCTGATGCAGGACTTGATCCTGGATCCCGGGATCCCGCCCTGAGCCAAAGGCAGACGCTCAACTGCTGAGCCACCCAGGCGTCCCTCTCCTTGCCCTTTTGGTTCCTTATGCAGTTCTGGTATGGATGGACTTAACATGGAGTCCATGCTGTATAGCTTTAGAACACTAGGGTTATCACTCTTCTTCTTTTTTTTTTTTTTTAAAGATTTATTTATTTATTCATGATAGACAGAGAGATTGAGAGAGAGGGGCAGAGACACAGGAGGAGGGAGAAGCAGGCTCCATGCCAGGAGCCTGATGTGGGACTTGATCCCGGGACTCCAGGATCGCGCCCTGGGCCAAAGGCAGGCACTAAACCGCTGCACCACCCAGGGATCCCGGGTTATCACTCTTCTTGAAGCTAAAGACCCTTCTTCTACACCTTGGACCTCAGGATTATGATTCTTTCATCTCTTGTACTTTGAGCCCCTGCTTTTTGATCTCTTGCTTTTGATTAGAATCACCTACCAACATCGCCTTCCTTCGTCCCCTGGCTTTTCTTTAGGAACTGTGTTTCTACTGCCCTTTTTCTCCTTCTGGGTCATCTCCCAGCTGATCCTGCTACCCCCTGGGATGTGGCTCTCTCTCACCTCTGATCTGTGCCTTAGGTTTCTCCCTCTGACACTAGGCTTCAGGCTACTTCTGCAGAACCTTCCTCAGTTTGTGTCTATATCCTCAGTTTCCATGGTTTTCAGAATTGTTTGTGTCAGAACCACCAGAATTGTTTTTGGGGACACATCATGAAATAACATTTAATTGCACCACAAAAATCAGTATCCATGTTTTCTTAAATTTTTTTTTTTAATTTATTTATGATAGTCACAGAGAGAGAGAGAGAGGCAGAGACATAGGCAGAGGGAGAAGCAGGCTCCATGCACCGGGAGCCCGACGTGGGATTCAATCCCGGGTCTCCAGGATCACGCCCTGGGCCAAAGGCAGGCGCTAAACCGCTGCGCCACCCAGGGATCCCCAGTATCCATGTTTTCAATGGAAAATATGGCTGTTATATATTTTCAGGTCTCCATAACTCTATGATTTATAATTTTTTTTTTTTTTAGTATTTTAAATAAGGTTCATTTAAGCCTGTTGGCCCCTAATATTCATCTGCCAGATGTTCATTCACTTGGCTATCTAACAGGTACAAAAAGCTTACCAAAAAACATGGATGGCATAGAAACATAAGAACTTTCTATGTACTCTCCTGACATTTTCTGTGAGTTGAGGAAAAGGCATTACTTTTCCATTTTGGCCACACTGGTCAAGCAGCCGGGTTTAAGCAGGGATGTAGTTGGGAGAACCATTAGCCTGGGACTTCTACCACATTGAGAGTTTATGGTGTTCTCGGTATCTGAGAGGCAGGCCTCTCTCTTAACAAACACGTATTGATGAGGAATGCCAAGGAACAAAAGACAGCACCTGCCTTTAGGAGCCTGTAGTCTATGAAGGAGATGGTCCTACAGATGATACCGTGGTAGCAGCAAGGTTAGTGATGTGCACAGTTGTGGGAGCTCAAGGAAATCATCTCACAGGCCTGACTCCGATCAAACATGGAAGCTACACACAAAAATGTTACTTATTATTTGGGGGCTGTGAGTAAGAATTTTTTTGCTCACTCTTACCCATATTTTCTAAAACGAAAACGTATGTATCATTGTGATACCCACCACACTTTTTTTTTTTAAGATCCTTCATACAGGGATCCCTGGGTGGCGCAGCGGTTTAGCGCCTGCCTTTGGCCCAGGGCTCGATCCTGGAGGCCCAGGATCGAATCCCACGTCGGGCTCCCGGTGCATGGAGCCTGCTTCTCCCTCTGCCTATGTCTCTGCCTCTCTCTCTCTCTCTCTCTCTGTGACTATCATAAATAAATAAAAATTAAAAAGAAAAAGATAATATAAAAAAAAAGATCCTTCATACATTTTAACACAGAAACTTCGAGCCTTTCCTCTACCCATGCTTCTCCAGTTTTACAAAGATTTTTGACGAAGGGGCATTTTTGTCAGAGGTCTTAGAGCCTAGAACTAGACAGCGAATTCTAGGTCTGACCTCCGTGGTAGAAAGAGGAGTAAAAGAAAAATACCACACCACGGCTCACATAGCAACTTCCCAAATGATGGTTTGAGGCTTCTCTGGGGCTCCATTCATAAAACCTCCACTCCCTGCAGTCGGTCCAGTTGGCAGGCACGTTCAGCTGTGCTTGATGAAGACCGTGCCCCTCTCTGGGACCTGGACTGAGGCCTTGGGATGGACCTCTCTCCTCCCTTAGTACTCTAATCCCTGTTTCTTCCCCTTCTCCCACTGCTAGCCCCTGAGAACCAGAACGGGAATGGACTGAGTGCCCCACCAGGTCCTGGTGGTGGCCCACACCCACCTCACATACCCTCGCACCCCCCCAGCACCCGAATTACCCGAAGCCAGCCCAACCACACACCTGCCGGCCCGCCTGGCCCCTCCAGCAACCCTGTCAGTAACGGCAAAGAAACCCGGAGGAGCAGCAAGAGATAGCAAGACGTTCTTCGTCCCTTCCCACCACCCACCATAACCCAGGTGTCTCCTGGAGAACACAGCCTCCTACTAGGCTGCTGGCTTTTGGGGGGTGGGGTGGGGGTGGCTGGGTAGGTAACAGTATTTTAGCCACTAAATTTCACTGCAGGGGTAGGGAGCCGAGGCCTTTAGTCACCCTAAGCCCATACTCCCTGCCTTGCCCAGCTGAAGCTGCCTATCCCCTGGGATTGAAGGCCCTTTGCCTGCCCTCCTTCCTTTTAGAAACCAGTCACAGTCTGTTTCCAATGTGTGTGATGTGGGAGTCGAATTGAACCCCTCCTTCCTAATAAACGTTACACTCTGTGTGCTGGACTCCTTTGCTTTTTGTGGGAAAATGGAAAGGTTAGCAGTCGGACATCTGGGCAAGTAGAATATCCCTAGGAGGCAAAAGGAAGACAGCCTCAGCGAGGAGGCCCAGGCAAAGCAGGCCTGCCCCTTTAAGGTAGTTCCCTCCCCTGCCCCCTCCCTGCAGGTGACCCTTGCCCGCCAGCCTGCCTGCCCCCCCACAGCTGGAACCGAGAAGGCTGTGTCCCCCTTCCTCTGGGCGTCCTTCCAGTCTCTGGCTGTCAGGTAATGCCAACCTCAACCCCCTGTACCAACTGCCCTAATCAGACTGTGCTCCCCTGATCTTAAGCCAGGTCAGACATCTGAGGGGAGTGCAGATACTTCTTTCCTCCTTCCACCAGAGCTTCCCCTTTCTTGGTCATTGATTCCCAGAGTTCTGGCTCTTACTCTGCTGGGATAAGGAGCGGCTAAGAACGGTTTCTTCCGCAGCCACCTGGGGTTGCCACTTGCTGCCTCTTCACCCCCTTTCCAGCTGGGGACACCCAGATGGGTCCCACTTTCCCAGGGAATGTGGGGATGGGGGTTGGAAATGAAGGAAGCCCTGTACCAGATCTAAGGTGGGAAGGGTGAGAGCATATGCAGGAAAAGGCTAAAATGGTACCAACTGGATTAGTGGGGTGAATTATTTAGAAGAAAAGGCTAGGCTCAGGTTTTCCTTAGCCATGTGGCTTTTCCAGGGGCAGAGGGTGGCCCCTCCCTACTCAGGGGCCCAGCCAAGACTGACCTTTGACCCCACCCCAGAGACCAGTGAACCATTAACTCTTCTCTGACGTTAGTCTTCCCACACTGGCCCCTCCCCTCCCTGACCCCGCCCCAAGGCAGGTGGGCTAGGAGTTGGGGGGCTGAGGGGGAGGCCATCCCAGCCTTCTATCTGACGTGGCCTCCATCCCCCACCCCCCGCCCCAGGCACCTGGAGGCTGAGCCCCGCTCCCTGTCCTGACTCAGGAGCCTCTGAGCGTCCACCATACGGCCTGAGTGGGGCCTGAGTGGGACCTACGGTGACAGCTCTCCTACTGCCAATGAGGGTGAGGCCCCTGTGGATTGAGGGGAGACAAGGTGGGGCGGGATTGAGGGGTGGGGTTTTGGGGACAGATTGGGCCGTCAGCTCTGGATCAGCTGAGGGAGGCACTCTGGGTCAAGAAGGGTGCCCTAGGAACTGGCAAATAAGAGGCTGCTCCAGAAGGAGGCGATGGGGATGGGAGAAAGGAGGCGAGGGTGGGGGCTGCTGCTAGAGTCAAGGTGGGGAGGTACGAGGAGTGAGGGTCCCTGGGGCTGAGCTGACAGCAGAACAGAAGGCCAGGCCCTTCCTCCCTCTTCTTCCAGGGCACAGTCCTCAGGATGTTCCAAGGGGAATAGAAGCCGGAACCAGAGCCTCCAACCCATTCCCCCCAATAATGGGGCCCCCAATGAGTCACCTGCTAGCTGGCCTGTGTGTGGGGGTGACCTTGGGCTTGGTAGGGGGCTCAGCCCCCAACCTGGGCCCCGCTGAGCAGGAGCAGAACCACTACCTGGCCCAGCTGTTTGGCCTGTATGGGGAGAATGGGACGCTGACAGCAGGGGGCCTGGCGCGGCTTCTCCACAGCCTGGGGCTAGGCCGAGTACAGGCGCTCCGCCTGGGACACCACGGACCTCCAGCTGGCCGGGCTGCACCCCCAGCTGGAGACAATTACACGCACAGGTACTAACCCCTTCCCCCACCCCAAAATGCCACCTCCCCAGCTCTTCTCAGTGTTTGCATCAGTCTCCTGTGGCCTAGCTCTAGCTTCCTAAAATTGGATTCCTGGAATTAAAATTTCTGAAAAATCTGACTCCTTGAATCCCTTCACAGCCCCCTGTGCTTCTGCTGCCTTCTAATTCTCTCCTCTTCCAAATCCCTGGGCCCTTCAACTCCTTGCTCTTAGCAGTGCTCAATGTCTCTCCAGGCTGACTTGGCTCCCAATATGTAGCATTTTTGGCTGCCCCCCCCCATTTCTCTCACTCTCACACCCCCCATTCCTAGACCATTCCTCTAAATCGACAATCTCAGATCCTCCAAGAACTGAAATTCTACAGTTTCTGGGTCCCAGGAACTCTGGCTACAGGCTTCCTCCCTTTCCCCCTAACTGCCCTAGGAGCGTCAAGGTTTTTTGTTTTTTTTTTTTTGTTGTTTTGTTTTGTTTTTTTAACATTGATTTATTTGAGAGAGAGCGTGAGCAGCAGGGAGGGACAGAGAGTCTTAAGCAGACTCCATGCTGAGCTCAGAGCCCAACATGAGGCTCGATTTCATGATCCTGAGATCATGAACTGAGCTGAAACCAAGAATCTGATGCTTAACCAACTGCACCACCCAGGTGCCCGTTAAGGGGAGTTTCTTTAAGAACACGAGCCAGAGCAGCCCGGGTGGCTCAGCGGTTTAAGCCGCCTTCAACTGGGGCATGATCCTGGAGTCTGGGGATGGAGTTCCACGTCGGGCTCCCTGCATGGAGCCTGCTTCTCCCTCTGCCTGTGTCTCTGCCTCTCTCTCTCTCATGAATAAATAGAATCTTTAAAAACAAACAAACAAAAATACGGGCCAGTCTGACTTGCTCCCCCTTCCATTCCAGATCACAGGACCCTGAGCTGAGTGTGGATGTCTGGGCTGGGCTGCCTCTGGGTCCCTCAGGGTGGAGTGACCCAGAGGAGCCGAAAGGCCCAGCATCACCCCATGGGCCAGCCCCCTCGGGCCTGGACCTCTTTCACAGGCTTCTGTTGCTGGACCATTCCTTGGCTGACCATCTGAATGAGGATGTGAGTCTGATGATCTCTAGGTGCGGGAAAGGACCGTGGGATTTAGATGGCCTGAAATGTTTGAAGAGTAATTAATACAGTTAATTAAAAAAATAAATACAACCCAATCCAGGTGTGATCTTAAGGTATGTTATTCCAATAGCAAAATAAGGTTCCTCTGGGCTCAGTGCACATGAGCCCACACCCAAATCTCCAAGACCTGGTTTAGGGACCACACTTGGCAAAGCAGAGAATCCAGAGACAACAGGCCAGGGTAGGATTTGGGGCCCGCTATCTGCAGGGAGCGGATGGCTTATCTTCAGCCAGAAAGACTGTGAACTTATTCCATGTACAACAGAGGGCAGCAAAAGCGAAGCCTGAAGCAGGCCTGGTGAGGGTGAGCACCCCCCATCACAGGAGGCATTCAAGCCAAGGCTGGTCGAACATGTGACAGGGCTGTTACGAGACAGGTTGGATGGTATTTTGAGTTCTTTCCCTGCTAAGGTTCTGCAGTGGAGGGCTCTGATTGTCCAACCAACTCCATCACCAACTCAATGAAATCATCAGGGCCTTGGGAGGGAGATGGTGGCATTGTTTTACTAGCATGCAATCTGTACTGAGTTGAGTATTTGCAATGGATTGAATATTCACTAATAATTAACATCCACCGATCATACAGAACCATCCCTAATCCCTGATGCACCTGCCAGGGGGAGCAGAGGGGGCCCCGGGGAGACCCAGGAGTCCCTGCAACTGAAGGACAGACATTAAGGATCTGAGCCACAGTTCTCAGCGATGCCCCCACGTATGACCCCCCCAACTCAAACTTCCTAGTGTCTGAACGGCTCCCAGCTGCTGGTCAATTTTGGCTTGAGCCCCGCTGCTCCTCTGACCCCTCATCAGTTTGCTCTGCTGTGCCCGGCCCTGCTTTATCAGATCGACAGTCGTGTCTGCATCCAGGCCCCTGGCCCAACGCCCCCCGGGGACCTTCTGTCCGGTCAGTGGGTGACAGTGGGTGGCAGGGTGCCTTGAATCCCGGTGGGGGGTGGGCCCCTGGCCAAGCAAGGGGGCTCGCGGCCCCGCCTTCCCTCGGAGGCCGTCCTCACCAGCCCGTCACTCTCCGCAGCCCTGATTCACAGTGCCCTGGCGGTCCTGCTGCTCAGCCTCCCGGCTCCCCTGTCCCTGCTCCTGCTGCGGCTCCTGGGAGCACGCCTCCTGCGGCCCCTGCTGGGCTTCCTGGGGGCCCTGGCCGTGGGCACTCTTTGTGGGGATGCGCTGCTGCACCTGCTGCCTCACGTAGGCCAAGCCCCTTCCCCGCGCTGCCCCGCGTCCTGGGCCTCCCCCCCCCCCCCCGGGGCCTGCGCTGACCCCCTCTCTGGCAGGCCCGAGGAGGACAGCACGCCGGGCTTAACGGGCACCCAGAGGAGGACCTGGGACCGGGACTGTCCGTGCTCGGAGGCCTCTTCCTGCTCTTTGTGCTGGAGAACATGCTGGGGCTCCTGCGGCGCCGAGGCCTCGGGCCAGTGAGTGATGCCCCCCTCCGGCTGCGGCCTAAGCACAGGCCGGGCGGGCCCTACTGGCCGCGGGTGGCAGGAGGCTCCGGCGGCTTCCCAGCGCCCCGGCTGGCTCTGGGGCTGGCTCAGGGGGCACAGGCGACCGCTCACGCCGCTCACGGGGCGGGGGACAACCTGGGAAGACAGCACAGAGGCCAAACACATGCCCAAGGGCTGGCGGGACCCGGAGTGCGTCTGGCAGCCGCCGCCTGGCCTGTGCTTAGCGCCCGGCCCTGCCGCCTCCTCCAGGAGGGACTCCCTCCCCTTTCAGGGATGCTGCGGGCGGCAGAGGAAGGAGCTCGGCGCCCCCGGGCCGGACCCCGAGGACAGCGGGACGGGCCTTCAGCCCCTACAGGCGGCTCTGGGTGAGCAGAGGGGGAACCAAGGGGAGGCTTGCCGGGGCCCCCGCAGCCCGCAGCCGTGCGCACTGTCCCTGTCCCTCCCGCAGAGCCGGCAGCCCAGGGCCGCGGGGAGCAGGCCGGCCGGGCCCCGCCAGCTCCCGCCCCCCCTGGCCACCAAGGCCACAGCCACGGGCCCCGGGGCAGCGCTGGCGCCAACATAACGTGGATGGTCCTCCTGGGAGACGCTCTGCACAACCTCACTGATGGGCTGGCCATAGGTGCGAGGGGCAGGCGGGACCCAGGGGGGTTCCTGGGGGGCGGGTGGGGTGCGGGTCCCCCACTAACCTCCACCCTGCCAACGCCAGGCGCCGCCTTCTCCGACGGCTTCTCCAGCGGCCTCAGCACCACCGTGGCCGTCTTCTGCCATGAGCTACCCCACGAGCTGGGTAGGAAGGGCAGACATGGGCTCTGGGCCACCCTGGGCCGGCGGGTGGTGGGGTGGGGGCCGCGGCTGATGCCCGCCGCCTGGCCTCCTCCCACAGGTGACTTCGCCATGCTGCTCCGGGCAGGGCTGCCCTTCCGGCGGCTGCTGCTGCTGAGCCTGGTGTCCGGAGCCCTGGGGCTCGGGGGTGCAGCCCTGGGGGTGGGGCTCAGTTTGGGCCCCATCCCCCTCACTCCCTGGGTGTTCGGGGTCACAGCCGGGGTATTCCTCTATGTGGCCCTCGTGGACATGGTGAGAGGCGTGGGGCAGTGCAGAGAGAGCAAGGGAAGCGGGCAGCTGGGTGCGCCGGGGGAGAGGGGGCAGGTCCCTCCACCTCCACCCTGGACCCCGGGCCTGTGGAGTCTGAGCCACAAGGGCCTGGAAGAGTCTGGACGGGAGGGGCTGCCGGCCGTACTTCCCGCCGCCTCCTCCCTGACCTCCGTGTCCCTCCCGCGCTTCAGGGGGGCAGACACAGGGCCAGGAGCCCGAAGTGCTTCTTTCCTTTCAGCTACCAGCCCTGCTTCGTCCTCCAGAGCCCCTCGCTACGCTCGACGTGCTGCTGCAGGGGCTGGGGCTGCTGCTGGGGGGCGGCCTCATGCTCACCATAGCCCTGCTGGAGGAGCAGCTATGGCCCCTGGTCTCCGATGGCTGACGGGGGCGGTGGAAAGGCATCGGGGTTGCCCTTCCTTCCCCCCAACCACAGGAATGGAGGCGGGACACAGGGCCAGTAGGAGCAATAGGATTTTAATAAACAGAACCCATCCCAAAGCCATGACTACGACAGTTGTACTTGCACCAAAACAGCATAGAAAACCAGGATGTAGTGGGAGGGGGGCTCAAAGCAGGTCAGGGGAGGATATGAGCAGGGGCCTGGAGGGTGCAGGGTGCATCAATCTGCAGGGAGAGCATTGTGCTTTAGCCCAGGGGGGAGAGGGGGTGGGGCAAATGCACCGCAAGGTCCCCACTTTTTCCTGCTGCCCTCAGCACCCTGGGGTTACAGGCATCTGGGCAGATCTGCCCTTTATTGCTGCCTACCAGCATTAAACACCCCCGACCCCAACACTAGCACCACAGGTGGATCTGGGGCAAGGAGAAGGGCGGTAACGGGAAAATTGCTTAGAGAAAGATTCAACTGGAATCCAGTGAATTGTGCTCAGTTCTCTTTACTTCCTACAACCGAGTACATGGGTCACAGGGTGGAGGGTGCAACAGGACATGGAACATGCCCCTCAGTGCCCCCGACACACCCCTGCACACAGGATGGTGGTGTCTGCAGCATCACAGGTCATGCAGGGCACGGGGGAAGGGGAGGTTCGCACACATGTAGACGCCCACAGCGGGTACCAGACAGAGAACACCCCTGAATATACACAGCTGTACACAGGGAACCCCCAGGCCCCCAACCCAACCCTCTCCCCTGTCTTGCCGTCCCCCAGGCAGGAGGAACTGTATTGCTTTGAGAGAGCCACCCTGGGGGCCGCTCTGCCAGGCACCCTCCCCTCCCCTCCCCTCCCTCCCCCCACCCCCGTTTTGGCACATCTGCAAGACACACGCAGCGAGGGTAGGCTCCCTCCCTCCCAGGCTTCTGTGGCTCTGAGTTGAGGAAGGGGGCAGGAGACTTATCCTCCATCTCTCCCCTCGCCCTTCCCAAACCCCCGCCGAACCCACTCTAGCCGGAACCCACCCCCACCCCCCAAACACACACATACAAAGCTGAGCTATCCAGGAATACCGGGGAACAAGGAGATTGTCCGGGACAGGAGCGGAGGCAGTCGGGGGAGAAAGGACTGGAAGCAGAGACCCCACCCTGGTGTGGGGGTAAGACTGGCACAACAGCTACTTTAGTGCAATTGGAGAGGGTGCCCAGAGTGAGGGATGGAGATGGGAGGGGAAGGCTCTCCCGGACTTCCCTGGGGGCAACGCCAGGCTCCCCAAGGAACGGGCCCAGCAGGAGCAAGCGAGGGCCAAGGGCAGAAGCTCTCAGTCACCCGCCACCCTCTGCCCTCCCAAATGCAGTGACAGTGTCCCCCCTCACACCTAAGTGGGCAACAGCAGCCTTGGAGTCAGTACCTTCAAGTAATTCATAGAACAGACCCTCCCCACCCCAGCTTCCTCCCATCTCTGGGATTTGGTCGCTTCTCTAGGGTTGGGTCGGGGAGGAGGGAGTCCCCACATCAGACCCTTCCCTCTCCACCTCCCTCTTCCCAGACCACTGGGCTTGGTCCTCAAAGATTCCTTGCCCCCGCCCCTGCCCAGCCTGGGTCAAGGCCGCGGAGGGCTGGAGCCACCACAATTGGAGGGGAAGGGGCTGCTTTGCTCCTTATCCCTCCTTCTGAAAAGGTAGGGTTCAAACTAGGCGGGATGGGGCCCCATAATGGTTTGCCCCAGGAGGAGGGCTTCTGGGCTAGGGTCTGTAAGGCTATTTTCCTTTGTGGTGGGAAAGGGAGGTGGGGATGAACACGGGGTGTGGGGAGAGGGGGAGAAAAGGTGGAGAGGGAAGGAGGAAGGGGCCTCCCTACCAGAGCCGTTGTCGTGGAGTCCCCGGGACGAAGCAGCACCCCTGTGCACAGATGCAGAGTGCGCCTGGTCCCGGCCCCTCCAGCCAGGCCCAACCTCCCCTCCCGGGGTCCCTTCCAAGACCCCGGGGGGAGGTTTCGGGGATACAGCTGTAGAACCGTTCACTCTGGCCCCAAGCCCCCCACCCCACCCCCGCCTCTCCTCCCCTTCTAGGTCCGGGGAGTAAGAAGGTGCTCGGGTGGGCAGACAGCGGTGGAAACAGTATTGAGTTTTCCTTTGGTTACATATTGAAGGCAAAGGTGAGCTGGACTTACAGTCAAAACGGATAGGGATGAGGAAGGAAGAGGGGCCATGCCGGGGTTGGAGAGGGAGGCAGGCCCTCCTCAGCCCCTCCACCCCAAGGAACACATGTCTAAGTGGGGTGGCAGTCCCTCAGTCTCATCTCTCCCACCCCCCCACAGCACCAAACAGAAGGAGAAGCCCCCTCCCCCAGGGGCCGCTCCCCACCCCAACCTGGGCTGTACATTCAGTGGTTTTCAGCAGTCCTATGGCTCAGGGGGCCACAGCGGGGGAGGTGGCCCGTCAGTCTCAGTTGGACAGTGGCAGTGACCCGGATCTGTCGGCCCATCCTGGGACCCACAGTTTGTGCCATTTGTTTTTCTGCAGGATAGTATACAACCTACCAAAGCCACCGCCCAATCAGAAACATCTCCCCAAAAATCAGAAATTAAAAACTGGCTCTTTTCAACTCGCCCTCTGATTCACAAGCCTGTTTCCCTGTCTCCTATGTAGCCCTCGCTCTGTCTCCTTTGCTGGGACCTGGGGCTGCTCCCAGGGTCCTCACTTAAAATAGGCCTTTTCTCAAAAGTGCTTATTACTTGAAGCAAGTGCTTTAGAGCTGCGGTGGGGAGAGGGGGAGGGAAAGCGGGAGGGCGAAGGGGAGGAGGGGTTTCCTCCCCACCCCACCCCCGTAAGATTGGGGGGCACTCTGCCTGTTTTACTTCTCCACACCCGTTTAAGTCAAAGAGGTTTGAAAAAAAAAATCTTAACATTAAAATAAATATGCAGTGGCCATGAGAATGGTCAAAACACTTCGAAAAACACTAGGGGCCGGGGAGCCCAGGGCGGGGTGTGGGATTTCCTTTGGCATAAGGAGAGGAGGCTGCTCTCCTCCGTGCCCCCCACAGCCACATGGGGGGGGGGCAGAGGACCTGTCGCAGCACTGCTGACGTGTGCAAGGGGCAGCGGGGGACCCGGCAGCCGCCAGAAATCTCATCTAGCAAAACAATGGGGCTCCTGACAAATACTCAGATTCTTCCTGTCATCGCCAAACATTGATAAAGGAGAACACGACTGATACCCCGAGAGTCTTCTCTGGAGGACCCATCTCTCTGCTCCCCCTGCCCCCCCACCCCCCAGCCCCCCTGTCACCTAATTCCCAGCACCAAAATGAGAGGGAGGGAGTGGAATGGGAAGATTTCAGGAGAGAGCTGAAGTTAGGGGCAAGCTTTGCAGAACCAGCAGGGTTGGGGGTGGGGGGCTGCAGCCCTTAAGAGAGGTCACATTGATTGTCGTCTAGGGGAGGACAGGGTGTGAAGGGAGGTGGGCAAGAGGGGCATCGCAAGGCCCTTTGGCTTTGAAAACAAAACTAAAAACTAAAAGCTGCACAATCCTTCTCACCAATAATGGTCATTTGGAAGCTTTGAAATGGTTTAGGAACTGAGGGTTGGTGGAAGCAAGACACAGAGAGAGGGGATAAAAAGAGACGGTGAGAAAAATAAGGACTTGGACAAACACCCCAGGCTTCAGGGAACCAGCATGAGGTATGGTTAAGGGTATGTTAGGGAGACAGGGGTCCCTGGGATGCCCCCCTCCCCTCAGCCCACCCTTGGTGAGGGTGGCAAGACTTGCAGGGGACACTGGAAAGTGGGGAAGGTCATGAACAAAGCAAGCGGGGGGGGGGGGGGGGGGAGGCTGAGGGATCCCCCAGGGTGGGGGGGGGGACCCTGTACTGTGTAAACGAAGCCTGTCCAGTTCTCAGGGGACAATACTGATGGCAGCCAAACTGGGCAAGGATGCACTGTGGGGGTGGAGGGGGCATGACCTCTATTCAAGTTCTGTGTCTTGGCCCCTGGCTGAGGTATTGAGTGCGAGGAAGGGAATGCTGGGCTAAGGGAGTAGAGGCTTATCTGGCGGTGGACAAGGCGTTGAAAGGGACCAGGGCCAAATTCAATGCTACATTTAGAGAGAAAACTGCCCCCTCCTCACTCTGGCCCAGTTTGGCTTGTGGGAGGATGACCTTTAGGAATCTCCTCAGTGCAGCCCCTAGCTCAATCCCATCTCTCCCCGCTGCTGGGGGGCGGGGCAGGGCCCCAGCCTCAGTGTGTATTCCTCGCGCTCCCTAGATCAGAGCTTCATCCTCACACCAGAGGGGAAGCCTGGGTCCTCCGAGTAGCCACGGTCCCTAGTCTGCCCTGCCCCTCCCACCATCTTTGGCTTCAGATCAGGAGTGACTGGGGGCGGTGGGTACTCTTGGACATAACGGAAGGTGGGGGCACGGAGGAACTATGGACCTAGGGGGCACAGGAGGAAGAACGGGGTCCTTCCCTCCCCACACATGCAAACACATGCCTGAAACGCACAGGACGTACTAGGGCTGTGGTTTTGAAATGGGCAGGAAATTAATTTGTTTCTTCCCCTAAAGGATAAAATGCTTACTTAAAAATTCATGACAAGCCTCAAAGTTAAGGGAGGGGGGAGCCAGGGAGGGAACGGCCACAGGCTCTGTCCTCCCAAAAGAAGTTAAAAGAAAGAAGCAAGGTTAAAGTGCGTGGAAGGGAGTCCGGGAGGAGCAGGCTGTGGGGGCAGAACCAGCCCTTGATTTGCATATGAGGAGCCAGGGGAGAGTGCAGGATTGGGGCCCAGGTACAGTAGTTGCTGCTTCAAGTGTTTTGCATTTGAACTTTAGGGGTGATGGGGTAGAGAATGGGGGAAAAGCTCCAGGCCCCAGTGCTAAGTACCCTCCCCCCTCATCCACTAGCTGCCCCTGAAGGGGGAGGGGGACACCCCCAGAGTGCTCACACAGTACCAGAAATTAAGGCTTCTCACTGCTGCGGGGATGGAGGGGCCAGCCGAGCAGGGAGGCAGTGATGGGTATGGAAGAGGAGGGATGTGCCTGGCAGTAGGGGCAGGGAGGGGGGCACGGCGAGGAGAGAGAGGGAAGGGTGGGGGGAGTTGGCAGCAGAAAGGGGGAACGGAGAGATGGGGTAAAAGAGAGGGTAGCCAGGCATTTAGCAATCATTTGGGGACACTTGGCAGAAGGGGTTGCCCTGGGGGTGCCAAGGGCCTGGGGTGCTTCCTGTCGGTCCCAGACCCCTGCCAGGCCAGGATGGTGTGGCAAAGGGGTGAGCAGCTGCTCCCCAGTGCTTCCCCCCCCCCGCTCTGTCCCCCCACCCAGTCGTGTTCTCCTTTAAAGTGCCCTAAATGTATAGACTTTTTCTAAATAAATAGAATAAGATATCAAGCCACCGGCAGGGGGAGGGACACTGAAGGGGGGCTACTCCGAGTAGCAGCCGTCTAACCCGATGGCGCCGTGCCGCTCCTGGCTGTAGGGGCAAGAGGCCCCGTGGGGCAGGGCGCCGCAGCCACCCACCGTCTTGGCTGCTGCGATGCCGCAGTTCTTGAGCAGGCTGAAGCTGAAAGGACTGACGGCGTCCTTGGGTGGGAAAGGCTTCATGGTGGAGAGGATCAAGGCCAGGCAGTCGGCCACATCTTTGTTGGGGGCGCAGGCCAGTGCTGGGGTATGACCTGCAGGGCAGAGGGGGAGAACTGAGGCACAGGGCCTGGCCTCCCCGGGGTCCCACCCACCGTTCCCGGGGGCAGCGGGCTCTCATCTGTGGAGGGGAGCCGAGGCAGGCCGGAGGCAGGCCAGCGCAGCACCATCAGAGCCCAAGGCCTAGGAGGCCCCGGGCTGGGGCTGGGGGTGCTGACAGGAGACTGTCCAAGGGTGGGGGGAAGGGCAGAGCACAGGGGACACAGGGCTGGGAGGCAGAGGTGTGTGGGAGGTCTTCCTGAGGACCCTGCTGGCTCCACCCAGTTCGGTCACACTGCCCTCAGACACTCTAGCGTATTGGTATTGGGTCCCTGCTCTGAAGAGTTCCCCTGGGGAAAAAAACCCAGTTTACAGCAAGGTTAAGAAGTCACCTCCTGAAGAATGTCCCTGACCCCAAACCCGGAAGAGGCGGGGGGCTCTGGACCCCACCCACCTTCTTCATCCACAGCCAGCACTGTGGCCCCACGACTCAGGAGGGCCTGTACCACAGAAGCTAGACCGTTCCGGGCAGCAATGTGGAGTGGCCTTGGAAGAAAGGAAAAAAGGGGCAAGACGTCAGCGGGCTGCCAAGCTGCCCTTCCACACCCAGCCAGAGTGGCAAGAGAGAGTGCTGACCGAATAATACAAATACTGAATACCGTGAGTTCCAGAGAGCCTCTGGAATGCGACCAGCTCTTTCTTCACCACCTGCCTCCCCCAGCCAGGAGCCCCCTTCCCCAGGCACTCACATCTGCAGCGCACTGTTGGTAGCATTGATAAGGCCAAGGTCTTGGGTTTCTGCCAGGATCATGAGGGCACATTTCTCATGGCCCTGAGGGAGAGGAACAGAGATGGAGTGGAAGCAGACAGGCTGCAGAGCGGGAGTTGGGGAGGGTGCTGGGAGGACAAAGAGCTCTAAGGCTGGATGCTCCTGATCCCCACTCCAGTACGCCTTCCCAACGGGGTAGACCCATCGCCTTCACTGGGCCCTGCCCCTCATGCAGCCCTCACCACCACCGGTCCAGGCCCTACCTTGCTACAAGCCAAGTGGAGGGCAGTGTTCTTGTTCTCATCCAGCACAGTAAGGTCTGCCTTCCCTCGATACAGCAGAAATTCTGCAAGAGAAAGGAGGCAGAGGACTGAAGCCCTCCCTCCAGAGCAGCAGCCCTCACAGGTCCCGGCCCTCCAATCTGCGTATACTTTGCATGCCATCTGCAGAGGACGATATATCCAAAGACATGCCTCCTGCTTCCTGAGCCCCACCTCAAGCAGGACTGCCTCCCCCCTTTTTTAAGTTATTTGTTTATTTAAGAGAGAGAAAGAACATGAGCAGAGGGGAGGCGTAGAAGGAGAAAGAGAAGCAGATTCCCCACTGAGCAGGGAGTCTGACGTAGCACTTGATCTCAGGACTGTGGGATCATGACCTGAGCCGAAGGTGGATGCTTAACCGACTGAGCCACCCAGGTGTCCCAGGCCTGCCCCAGCTTGCGGAAACCCCAGGGGAGCTCCTCCCTTCCACACACAGCCCCTACACACCCACAGCAGCAGTCTGGCCGTTCTCGGCCGCCGTCATGAGCGCAGTGCGGCCAGTGTGGTCAGTGGCGTTCACCTCGGCTTGATGCTGCAGTAGCATCCGGAGCCCAGATATATTGTCCGCGAAGGCAGCGGCGTGAAGAGGGGTCCTGCAGTGTGGGGGTCAGGGCAGTGTGAAGAGGAAAGGCCTGTTCACCCGCGCAGAAAGAGGCCAGAGACAACCGAGGCTCCTCCCCAAGCCTTCCACCACTCACCGTCCTTTGGCATCTCGGCTGTTCACAATCTTGGCACCCAGAGCTCCCAGCAGCATCTCTGTGGTGCTGTCCTGGTTATTAATTCTAGGGGAAGAGGAAGGGTCAGCAGGAAGGATGAGGGAAATGGAATGCCTATCCTAAGCCCAGGTCACAGACCCTTGAGCCGGGCTGAGGCATAGGAAGGGACTTACACTGCACAGTGCAAAGGAGTGAAGGGGTTTCCCTCCAGGTATGAAAACGGGCTGTGTTCAAGTAACAACTCCAGACAATCTTCGTGTCCTGAGCAGGAGAAAGAGTCATGGGAGTGGAGACGGACAATGAAAACATCTGTTTCATCCCATCTCCGGACACTCCACTTCCAGATCCAGCTTCACCCGGGTCCTTCCCTCCACCCAGGGGGCCCAGTCTCTGTTCTGGTCAGCCCTCTCCCACACAGCACCCCACCCCCACGCCCACCAAGGCCCCAGGCCCGCACCAGTGTAGGAGGCCCAGTGCATGGGCGAGTATCCACTGTAATCCACGCCAGCATCCAGGGGGTCTGTGGAAAGAGCAGCCTGCAGCAGGGTCCGCAGCACTGCAGTGTGGCCACAGGCTGAGGCCAGGTGAATGGGGGTGCGGCCCTTGAAGTCTCGGCACAGCACAAATGCGTCGTGGTCCAGCAGGGCAGCCAGGCAGTCCTCACAGCCAGTCACTGCCTGTGGGCGACGTGATGGTGTAAAGGAGGGTGAAGGGCCACTCCCTTCCCGATAGCCAGTCACTGGAGCTTGCTCAGGAGTTAAGAGCCACTTCCACTTCCAGGGCACTAATACTTGTCTTTACAACAATGACTCTAAAATGTTAGGAATCCGCGTGTCCTTCCTCCGTCCTCTCTATGCCAACAGACAACCAGGACGGCGAGACTTAGTTCTGGCCCTCTGGACTGGGGGACAAATGGCAGAGTAAGAGGACTAATGGGTCGAAGGGTCCCCGGGATGAGGAGACAGTTTTAGGGCAGGCGATTGTGGAGAAGGCCTGGAATAGTGGCATCATCATCCAGGGGGCCAGGACCAGAGTCTGGTTACCCCGGAGCGGAGTCTGGGTAGTGAGCCTGTGGCTGTGTGAGATTACGAAGCAAGGGGGCCAGGGAGATCAGCTCCGGGTGTCAGGTACCCATCCTGGAGCCAACACAGTGAGGCCCAATAAGACCCTGGGCACAAAATACTGGCCCACCTGCTAGACAATCTGCCGTCCCACTGCTGAGGGGTCCCATGCTCCCACGTCCAGGCCTGTCTGTGAGCAGCCCCACCCAGGAGGTCACTCACCCCACGGTGGAGGGCGGTGCGGCCCCGGAGGTCAGCAGCATCAGCTGTGGATCCTTTCTCTAGCAGCAGATGGACACAATCCACGTGGCCATTCATGATGGCCAGCATCAGTGGGGTTCTACAGAGGGGGCAGGGGAAAGGTGAGGGCCAGCGGGGACAGGAGAAGCCGTACCCTGCCCCGGGCCCACACTCACTGTCCATAGGCATCCATGACATCTGTGATGTCAGCTCGTTCCCCACTGTCGATCAGCAAGTGCAGGGAATCAGTGTGGCCAGAGGCGGCTAGGAGAAGAGGGTCTGTGTCAGGGCATGGTCAAGGGGAAGGAGCAGTGCGGTCGGGCATAACAGGTCTAGCATGAAGGACTCAAGGGTGGAGATTATGGGAAGACCCAGGGGGCAAGTGGAAGTCTTGGGGGATAGGAAGCCACGGATCAAGACCTGAAGTTTCTATTCTCTTCACCATGCTCCACTGCCAGGCCTAATCCCACTCAGGAGGGATCTGGGACCAGTCTCGAAGGCCTGGTGTGGCAAGGAGAGGGAACAGCCTGAGGGCGCACTAACCAGCAGCGTGCAGGGGTGTCCACTTGCGTTTGCGCTCCTTGATGAGTGCGGAGGCGCCGTGGGCTGTAAGCACCTCCACACACTCAGTAGAGCCTCGCTCAGTGGCCAGGAAGAGCGCGGTCCGGCCCTTGTGGTCCCTTACATCCAGGTTCACCAGCGTCTCAGCCAGTGTCTTCAGGGCTTCACAGTGACCGTTGTAGGCCTGGAGGGGGGCGTGGGCAACCAACGGCTACAGCCCAGGACGCTGCCGCCCTCTGCTCTCGGGCCCCATGGGGAAAGCCCGGGCATCAGTCCCCCCACGAGCTTCTCGGGCCCCTCAGGCTCTCAACCTGCACCATGCTCGCCCGGCTCCAGACCACTGTCCGCTTGCCACATCCCCACAAGAAGGCAGAAGCCAGGGCAGATTCACAAGTGCTCGCGCCTGGGGTGGGCCCAAGGCCGGTAGGGCCATGGGAGGCAGGAGGGAAAGAGCGGGAACTCACAGCTAAGTGCAAAGGGCTGACTGGAATGGTGCTCTCCACATCCTCCAGGCAGTTAAAGGACATTTCTAAGAGCTGCAATGGACAGGAGAGTAGGTGCTGAGGTTCTCGAACTCCATCCTACCACCCACAGTAATGCCCTAAGCCCCTAGTTCCACAGACCACATCTGAGTCACCCAACCCTGGATTTTAGACTCCACAAACACGAAGGTGACTGGGTGCCCTGGCCCCGCTTCCTCTCCTCCAGGCCGGACCCACACGTACCAGCTCGAGGTTCTGTCTGTTGCCGTAGGCGGCTGCATAGTGCACGGCTGTGTAGCCCTGCCTGTCCCGCAGGGAGGGGTCTGCACCGTTATCCAGTAAGAACTCCAGACAGCTGGGGGACAGGGGGACACTGTGAGGCAGGAACAGGCCCAACTGGGGAGGAGCCACTGTGGAAAGAGCAGAGGAGAGGGGCGAGGGGGCCCCCTCCAGGCCTAGCTGGCCAACACCCATCCTCTGCTTTGGGTAGGCTAACTCCTGCCCATTCGACCCCGGCTCTGGACCCACCACCGCCTTCGCCTCAGCCCTGAACCACTCTGGCTTCAACACCTTCCTTTATCCGTGCAACACTCTCCTAGAGAATCCAGAGCACAATGATCAGTTATCAACCTGCTGATCAACACTTTCTGCCCATGTCTAGACACGCTGACCCCTTGTCTCAAATGCCTTCTCCTTCCAACCCATCTGAAGACCTATTCATCTCAAACTCACTCCCAGCATCGTCTCCTCTGTGAGGCCTTCCCCAACCTTCCCAGTGACGTGCCTCTTCCTCTGTGCTCCCCTGGCACCTTTATTTATTTATTTTTTTAAGATTTATTTATTTATTCATGAGAGACAGAGAGAGGCAGAGACACAGGCAGAGGGAGAAGCAGGCTCCATGCAGGGGGCCCAATGCGGGACTCGATCCCGGGTCTCCAGGATCGCGCCCTAGGCTGAAGGCAGACGCTCAACCGCTGAGCCACCCAGACATCCCATTGGCACCCTTCTTAGTAGGGTCAGCTTAGTAGTACTAGCAGTATTTAGCATTTACTATGTGTCAAGCGCTATTCTAAGCACCTCACGTGTATGAAACTATTTAGCCCACATAATGATCCTATGAGGTAGGTACTATTCTTACTCCTACTATGGCTAAGGAAACTGAGGCACAGAGAGGTTAAGTTGACAAAGGTCACACAACTAAATTTCTTGGACCATAAGTATCCTTTAAAAAAAAAACAACAAACCTCTTATTTCAGAAAACTCATAGATTTACAGGAAGACTGTGAATATAGTCTAGAGTTCCCATATATTCTGCACCATTTTCTCTGTTAACATCTTACATGAGAATGCAAAGGTGCCTTTTAATTTATATTTCCCAACAGATTATTAGTTTTCAAAGGGCAGAAATTTGGGATAATTCATCTTTTTTGGGGGGGTGGGAGAGGGAGAGAGAGACTGTCAAGCAGGCCCCAAACTTAGCATAGAGCCCAACACCGGGCTTAGTCTCAGGACCCTGAGATCATGACCTTGTTCAAAGCCAAGAGTTGATGCTGAACTGACTGAGCCACCCAGGAGCCCTGAGGGTAATTCATCTTTTGATCCCTGGTACCTAGCACAGTATTTAGTACCTAATAAGTAAAACCCTCCCTTAATTCTTATGGATTAGAAGAGTGATTTTGTCTGTTTAGCTGTTCTGATCCTCTTGAGGAGACCATCCGTTCCCCACGGGGAGGAACTAGGCCTCACACTTTTGTTTTTACCCACAATTATTTGGTTCAGGACTAAGTTCAGAGCAGAGTGCTCCCAACACTCTGCAGGCTGGCCAACTGCAACCAGTTAGAAGCAAGGGGTGGGCAGGGGAATAACAGGGCCAGAGCTGACTCTGCTGGGAAAGCACATCCTAGGGCTCTTGCTGGCTACTCACAAGAAGGCCTCTTTCCTGCGGGACTCCTTCAGTGGCTCGTCCTCTTCAGCATCGTGGCTGGAAGATGAGTGAGGCTCCGCTCTGCGGTACAGAGAGTGAAGTCAAGGGAGGCTCGGGGAGGTGGGGGGCTGAGAAGGCCAAAGCGGGACCCTCACCTCCTGTAGGTGTCAGAGGCAGCGGCGTAATGGAGGGGAGAGCAGCCTTTACAGTCGGCCTCATTGACGCCTGCGCCAGCCGTCACCAATGTGACTGCACACTGGTAGCTGCCATTGGCGGCTGCATAGTGCAGTGGGGTCCTGAGGAGGATGGGTGAGAGAGTCAGGGGCAGACCCCAACACAACTGGATGAGCGGCCTAAAGCTGCTCTGTAATACTCTCCTCACCTAGTCTCCAAGTCCCTCCCGTTCCCTCCACCATTGGTCTCTCTCATCCAACATTCCCCACGCATCTACTCCTGCGTATCGACACACCTTCCGAATTTGTCTCTTCTCCTCAAGTCAGCTCCACTGCTCAACAGCAAATTAAGACATTCAACATTCCTAAAAGGAAGGAGGATGCGGGTTAAGAGAGCAAGAGTCTCAAAGAGCAGCCACAGGCACAGGGAGAGGCTAAGGAAGGATGGCGCTGGGTAGTCCTTTCTGCCATGACTGCCCTCACGGTGACAGGGCCAGGGGACAGATCTGGGCCACAAAGAAGGGCCCAGACCCTTGCCCAGATCTCCTCGCAGCGCCTAGGAGAGAGAGAAGAGCACTCACCCTCCAGAAGCAGCAGCATGAAGACAGGTGCGGCCAAGGTTGTCAGGCGTATTGATGTCAAACCCGGCTGAAAGCACATGCTCGTTGCTGAGTGAAGACACAATGCTGTACAGCTGACCTGTGGGGCCAGAAGAGCCACAGATGTCATCCAAGGGCCCCGAGCAGAGCCGGGAGAGGCATCGACCGGCCTACACAGCTGCCCAACCCCCTCTCAACCAGTCAGCACATACCTGAGGAAAGAAGCTTACGACAACAGTCAGAGAATCCAAAGAGAACAGCTAAGTGCAGAGGGAACATGTCGTGAATGCCGCGCCTGGGGAGAAGTTGAGGGACTCAGTCCTTGGGTCAAGGAGGGACCAGTCATAGGCCTTTCTTCTATGCCCCTCCCCCCAGCAGCTTAGGAGACAGTGAGGTGCTGCAAGCTTCCTTCGGCGAGCTTCTATAGGCCTCCCTGTCTGACCTGAACAGCCTGCACAGATGTGAGGGGCCCTGACTCACCGGGCGGTATCCGCGCCATTGGTCATGAGGGTGCTGATGAGCAGCTCGTGTCCGTAGCGAGCAGCCACGTGCAGTGGCGTGTTCCCAAATTTGTCGGCACAATCAATCTCGCTGCCTGGGAAGGGATGCACACAAACAAACTCAGGCAGCCCTTGGGCTCCAGACCACTCGCGCTAGTTAGCTACCACGGGAGTGCTTGTTACGTGCCGCATCCCAGGCTGAGCATTCCACGTGTGTTATCTCATTTGTAAGTATTAGGGGACGGGGCATGCAGGCCAGGGCCATTTCCACAGGTGCCTTGCTCAGAGCTCCAGGTGCCCATCCTGACTGGAAGATGGAGTGGGAGGTGGAATAAGGAAACCAAGGGGTTTCTAGGGATGAGTTCTTGGGGGGGCAGGAGAAGAGAGCACAGTTTCCCGAGTCCATACCATTCTGGATGAGGATCTGGGAGCGGGTGAAACGACCATGGATGGCAGCCATGTGCAGAGGACTCTTTCCTTCTTTGCTCTGTGAAAACATGGCAATTTTTTTTTTCAGTGCAAAGCACCGAGAATGCCCTCTTCCCCTTCGAAAGGACACATCTCTGAGGATGGAGTGGTCACATGGACATCTGCTCAGCCCATACTCTCCTGGGGCCCTGGCAAGGTCTGATCAACCCAGGAGGCAAGTGGGCAATTCCCCAGAGTTGTCCAGGGGGGAAGATACGATCAGGACCCCCAGAGCCAGGTTGCAGCCTCATCCCTTCAGGCACCTGGTAGTTGACATCAGCCCCATTATTGACCAACAGCTCCAAGCAGAGAGCGCCATTGGTGGAGACTGCAGCCACATGCAGTGGCGTGAAGCCCTTGTCATTCGGCTGGTTGACATTGGCTCCTGCGTTCACCAGCTCAATGGCCACAGCATCCTGGCCCAGGTAGCAGGCGATGTGCAAAGCTGTGTTTCCAAAAGCGTTGGGCTCATCGATCTGGATTTTCAGGGGTGCAGGTAAGGGGATAAGGAGGTATCAGTTTAAATAAAGTGGAAGCTGGCACAGGTAGCCTAGAAAATTCCAGAATTCCAACAACCACCTGAGACACCTCACGTTCCTAACTCAATAGACCGAGGGCACGATTACTTCCGGTAAGCATTATTCACATCTCCCTCTATCCTGCTGACCTCCCCAAACCTCTCCAACAATCCAGGACCCTTCAGTCCCCACACACAGGCTCTGACCTCCAACTCCCTGCCCGTAGGGCCCCACCCCCATGCTCAGCACCCTGACCTCAGCCCCCATCCGGAGCAGGTACTTCACCACTTCAATCTGGCCGCTGGCAGCAGCTGTGTGGAGCAGCCCATAGCCCTTGCGGTCCTTGCAGCCGAGGTCCGCTCCCCGTGCCACCAGCAGTTTCAGGACCTCCAAATGCCCTAGGAAGAGAGAGAAGGCTATCAGGGAGGTGGAGGGTGAACTCAGAACCCCATGCCTGCCTTAGGATTCCTAAAAGTCAAATGCCATGAACCCTTTCTCACCTAAAAAAGCTGCCCAGTGCAGAGGCTGCCGCTCCTTTTTGTCACAGACGTTCAGGCTGGCTCCCTTGTTCAGGAGCAGGTTCACCGTCTGTATCAGGATATGAAAGACACCTATTCAGAGCCAGGTTCATGCTTTCAGGATACCTAAGGGCAGAAGCCTTTTCTGAAAAGGTGGAGGCACGCAAATGTCTTTGTTCTCAAAAAGAACAATCTGGAGAACTAGAGGGAACAGAAGAAGCAGATACTAAGAAGGAGAGCCGTATAGATTTGGAAGCCTAAGGGAAACCCAAGGAAGTATCTTTATGATCTGAGGGCTCTTAAATTCTTTTGTAAAATCTTCTAAAACACTTTGAAAGACATGGACACTCGCTTCAGAAAAAAGCATGTATATAAACGTTTTCCACGCAACTTCAAGAGTTTATCTTGGACTTAAAGTCCAAGTCAAGAGGGGATCCCTGGGTGGCGCAGCGGTTTGGCGCCTGCCTTTGGCTCAGGGCGCGATCCTGGAGACCCGGGATCGAATCCCATATCGGGCTCCCGGTGCATGGAGCCTGCCTCTCCCTCTGCCTATGTCTCTGCATTTCTCTCTCTCTCTGTGACTATCATAAATAAATAAATTAAAAAAAAAAAAAAAGTCCAAGTCGAGAATTTCAATCTAACCCAACCATTTGTTTGATCTTGAGCCCAAGTGTCTATATATTCATCCAGGCCGCTTCTCCCAGACCTGATGGCCCAGAAGCAGAGGACGGTGAGTGGGAAGGGAAGGCACAGCACTAGGCTGGGCATGGATGGGAGCAGTCCTCACCTCGAGATGCCCACTATGCACTGCATGGTGCAGGGCACTACGCCCGCTCCTATCAGCCACGTTGAGGCTACTCAACAGGGGTGCCAGAGCCTCAGCACACTTCGTGGCCCGGTTGGCGGCAGCCACATGCAATGGTGTCTGCCACAGCTTGTCCCGGGCGTTCACATCTGCTGAATGTGCCAGCAGCAGTCCCAGCACCTTCTGTTAAGGAGCGGGGGGGGGGGGGGGGGGGGGGGTAAGAGAGAAGATACAGGGGCAGTGGGAGGTAAAACAAATAGTGGAGGGAAAAACAGGTCAGCATGACACACACAGCCCCAGCTCCCAACTCCCCAGCACAGAGTCCTTTCCCATTTTTCGTACGTAGCCTGTCAATACCTACTTCCCATCTTCTGGATCTTCTTAGAGTCTAAAAATCTTCCCAACCTTGCTGAGGAAAGCATGGTCCCTTCCTTTTCCTCAAGCCACCTGGTATCACTCCCCAGCCAGACTCTGAAAATCTTCACCCATGCACACAGCTACTACCAAGCAAATCCACATATAAAGAGGATTCCAATCCCTCACTACTTTTCACTAGAAAATATACACACTTCTGCTACCTTAATGCCCTGAATACCCGCCTTCAGTCCTTCTATAGGTACCAAAATCATTTCTATTACCTCAGTAAGCAAACAGATGCTGGTCCCCCTCTAAAACCCAGGCTAAAAGGTCCCTCCTAATCACAACCCACCCCATTCCCATTGGCCTCAGTCCCTCACCCTGCTGGTCAGAGCCAGGGAACTGACCATCAAGCCAAGAGGGAGGTCTCCTCTTCCCTGCTACCCAGGGTTGATGGACCCAATTGATGAGACACATGTGACCCCTATGCTGTCAACTTTCAGGCTGCTTGAGGGGCAGGGATGCAACAGATCACTACCCTCAGCCCCTCCATCCCTCCATCACAAGGTAAGAAATCTCAGTGCCCAGAGGGGGATCAGACTCCAAGGTGGCCCCCCAGGGAGAGATGAGTCACTCAGGCCTGGCAGCAGGGCCCCCTGCAGTCTGCCAGCCCAGTGTTAAGCTCTCCCCTGACGTCACATCAGCTGGCAACACTCAGCCCCCCCTCACCAGCCAGTTCTAGGGGTGGGAGGGAGGGGCCAAGGTCTAGTCTCCTGACCTAGGGGTAGACCAGCTGGTAAGGCAGAGAGCTGAGGCTCTCGAATCCTTCACTTCCACCTTTAACCAACTCATCCTCTTTGAAAGGGTGAAAGGGCACAGGAGGCCGGTACCTCATTTCGGGAAGCAGCAGCACGATGAAGAGGGGTCAGCCACAGTGTGTCCTTAGCATTGACATTAGCACCTGTGGGGATACAATTTCCTCTTTCAGTGGGAGAGGGACAGCAACGAGGAAGGAAAGCAGTAACCAGGCCAAGGAATATGGATAGAGATGGAATGCCTCTCGCACACCAAGGTCCAGAGAGCAGTGCTTGGATGGGGGGATGGAGGGGAGGGCTCTTCCTTCAGGTCCCCTCCCTAGGAGCCACACCTTCCAGCTCCCCCCTTTCACCTGACATCAGTAGCAACTGGAGGATGGGGACATCGCCTACGTAGGCAGCAGCATGCAATGGGGTCCGCCTCTCTTGGTCCTGGGAAGGCAGAAAAGAGCAGCAGCTGCAGGGATGCGTGAACTACCAGGGACCCCAGCCCAAGCCTTAGAGCTCCAGGCCCTCCCGCCCCTCTTCCCACAGGTTCTGCAGCCTCCTAGAGCCCAGTCCTGGGTCAAAACAGGCACCTAGCGCGGGCGGCGTCAGGGAGTCAGGGGTCAGGGCCCTGGGGCTGGGAGGCGGCCTCCCTCTTCCAGGAGGGGTGGGGGCGCTGCAGACACTGCTGGTTCGGAAGCGACCGCCGCTGCTGGGCATCCTCGGCGCCACTGAGGCTTCCAGCCTGACCTGCTCCCCGGGTCCGCCGCGGAGCCGGCGCCCACCCCGGGGGAGCGCGCTGCGGCCTCGTCGGCGTCGCGGAGCCGCCCGCTGCGGGGCGGGGGCCGGCGCGGCAGGGCCCGGGCGCCGGCTCCGCATCCTCCCCGATCCCAGCTCACCAGCACGTTGATGTTCTCCTTCTGCGAGAGCAGGGAACGCACTTCCTCCACATCGCGGCTAAAGATGGCCTGGACCAGGGGCGGCTGCGGGAGAACCGGCGCTCAGCCAGCGGGCCGCGGCGAGCCGGCCGGGGGCGCGGGGGCACCTGGCCCGCCGGGGGGCGGCGGGGCGGGGCGGGGCGGGGCTGCGCGCCGGGGGCCGGGCGCCGGGGGCCCGCCGCGCTGGCCGGTCGCCAGGCCCCCAAGGACGCCGGCGCGCTTGAGGGGAGCGCGGCGCGGGGCGGGGCGGCAGCCGCGGGGGCCCCGGGCTCGGGCCCAGCCTAGGCCGCACATCCCCGGGCTCGCGTGGCGGCGGCGCCGGGCCCCGGAGGGACGCGGCGGGCAAGGACGGGCGGGCTGACCTGGTCCGTGATGCTGAGGATCCCCATGGCCCGGCCCGGGCTCCGTCCGCATCGAGCTCCCGGCGGCGGCGGCGGCGGCTCCACCGGGGACACGGGGCGGCCCAGGCGGCGGCTGCGGCGGCGGCTGCGGGGAGAGCGCGGCCCCGCCTACCGGGGGGCGGGCGAGCGGGAGCCCGCAGCGCTCCCTGGCGGCCGAGCTGGGCCGCGGCCCCCGCCCCCCGCCCCGCCCCGCCCGCCCCCTCCCGCGGGCTCCCGCCGCCGCGGCCCCCCCCCCGCGCTCCGCCGCCCGCTGCCGCCCGACGCCCGGGCCCAGGTCCTCCCGGCGCTGAGCGGCCTCGCGGCCTCGCGGCCTCGCGGCCTGGGCCCCTGGGCGCCCCCCCGGCCCCGCGGCGCCCCCGCGGGAGGTAAAGCCTCCCGCCGGCGGTTACGTGCCCCAGGTCCGCCGCGGACCTGGGGACCCACGGCCGTGGTGACCTGGGGTCACGGCCGGCAGTGGCCCCGGGGACGAGGAGGATGCACATCTCCTCCGGCGGTGGCAGGACTCGGGAGAAGGGAAGCAGCCGAGCGCTGACTGCGGAGAGGACCCCCGGGGGCCCCGGGGCGCCGCACCCCCGCACGCAGGCGGGGCGGCCGGCCGCTGAAGCGGGCCCCCGAGGCCCGCAGGAGGGGCGCCTCCCCAACTCCCAGTTAGCCCACGGCCGGGTTAGGGCGGTAGGGCGGCCCAGTGACTTCTCCCCAGAAGAGGGTGGGTGCTTTCCCTCCTGCGCCGGGGAGGCCAGAGGGCAGCCAATCAGGCAAGATCCGGATGGAGGTCATCCCAGCTCAGAACAGGAAAAGAGGGGAGAAAGCTGGATATTGAAAAATTGGTGCAATTTATAAAAGGTGATGGTCCAGGGTCCTGCTTAGAGCTCAACAATTCAATCTGTGTGCTCTAAGAGGGAGCACGTTGAGGAAGGAGGGCTGCAAGTTGGCCCCCTGTCAAGGCATGCGGATAAAAGCTCCCCTTTCCTCTCTAACCAATCTGTGCCCTTCATTACCTTTGGTATCTTGATTCCCACTGGAAAGATACAGACACTGATAACAGTGCTTTTTCCTGGAGAGAGAAATTAGGGAACAGGGAATGAGGAATGAGAGGGGAAAATACCTATCATTAGATACCTTCAGCAGTTTTTGAGGGACTCCCGGGTGGCTCAGTGGTTGGGCATCTGCCTTCAGCCCAGGGGTGATCCTGGGGTCCTGGGATCGAGTCCCGCATCAAGCTTCCTTGGATGGAGCCTGCTACTCCCTCTGCCTGTTTCTCTGCCTGTCTTTCATGAATGAATAAATGAAATCTTAAAAAAAAAAATATTTTTGTACTTCTACCGTGAAAAAAATTTACATTACTTAAAACTTAACCTATTCCTCCAAGAAATCTTCCTTGGTTAACAGGGTTTTTCCCTTTTGTTAAGCTTCGTTAACACTTACATATATTTAGTTTACACTGTAGCAGTCAGATTTTATTTTTTTAAGATTTTATTCATTTATTCATGAGAGGCACAGAGAGAGGCAGAGACACAGACAGAGGGAGAAGCAGGCTCCCTGAGGGGAGCCTGATGCAGGACTCGATCCCAGAAACCCAGGATCACCATGCAAGCAAAAGGCAGACACTCAACCACTGAGTCACCCAGGTGTCCCTGTAGCAATCAGGTTTAAATTGCACACCTTTGTTGCTCATTTCACCCTACATCTTTGACATATAAGTGTCCAACATTACAGAATAGATCTCAAACTCCTTTCTAGACTGTCTTCCAACACAGGACTATACATTGTTTTGGTTTCATTCTTTTTGTTTTTTTTTCCCCCATGAAAAAAAAGGATTTTGAGCTCTCTAAAGGCAAGGATATACATTATTATTTGTAGCTGTAACAGGGCAGTAGCAGGCACTTAACATTTGACAAAGAGGAGAAAGATGAGGCTGAAGAAGTAGAAACTGAAGGTAGCTGGGAATCAGATGGATATGGGTGTTGGTACATGTTGACTTGACTGTTGGGCCTTCCAGGAAGGGCTGAGCTAGGTTATGGCCCAGAGGATGGGGAGGAGGGGACTACATGGCCTCTATTGCCTGAAATAGCTCTTGGTAACCTGAGGAATTGGAGTCAGGGGTTGAGCTGGGGTCACGTGCCTGGTTCTGGCGTGGGAGTGGAGGTGAACAAGGGAGGTTGCCAGCTGGGTTCTCTGGGCAGCTGGAAGGAGGAGGAAGGGCTAAAGAGTTATTTTTAATATTATTCAGAGCACAGAAAGAGGATTTCCCAGTAGGGAAAAAAAGGAATATGATGTAGGTAACACAGATACTTCCAAGGTTTGGTGAGATGCAAGGGGCTGGGAGGGGTGGGTGGGGGATATTTAGGCCGGAAGTGGTAGCAAAGGCCTTCTGTGAAGACAGACCTGTGATTCAACTGCTGACTTCACATTTGGGTAACCCTAGGCAGACACTTCCCTATTTTTAAGCCTCAGTTTTAGCAAATGCTGATTGAGGACTCAACCATTATAGAATGCATAGTACAGCACTATATGCTAACTGGTTTGGAAGTAGAAACTTAGAAGTAATAGTGTCTGTTTTTGTGGAACTTAGAAGAACATATGCATACATATGAAGCAACTAGAAAATACAGGGTACATGCCATTTGACATGGCATTATGTGTTTGGGGTAATGTTCAGGGATGGGTTCAGTCAAAAGAGGGTCCTCCTAGACAAGGTATGTTTTGAGTTAGTACTTGAAGTTACTGATGTAGAATAACAGGGAAATGGCAGGAAATTGGTTGTTCAAGTACAAGAAATGAACTAGGAAAAGTTTAAATGGCAGTAATTAGCTAATCTAATTAGTAGGGGGACAACAAGCAAATTGACTTGGCAGGCCTATTGTACCTTGGGGATTCTGTAGCAGTTAACTCGGTTAAGGCATAGTGTTAATGAGGTCACAGTTCAGTCATGTATCCCGGTTAATTTCTGTCTTTTATCCAGCCTGTTCGTTTCTCCTCACTCTAAGCAGCTGTCTCACATGTGTAAGCCCTTAGAGGGAGTGGGTCAGGACCAGAAAGCAGGGTTGCAAAGAGTAAGTCTGTCCCTCAAGGTCACATGCCCATCTGAGAGTGGCTCCAGATTACCATCTTGGAACTGGAAGGAGATACTGTATCCTGGTGGTAGGGGTAGGGGTGCTGGGGAAAAAAGAAGAAAGAAAAAGAGGTAAGATCATTCTCCAATTTGGGGCCTCATGTATAAGTAAATATAAAATAAGGATTAAAATGCCTTCCTTAAAAATGTTAAATGTAAGCTCTTTGAAATCCAAATAAAATGGACTCAAAATTTAAATCAATCCAAGGGCTTCTGACTGGCTCAGTTGGTGGAGGATCTCAGGGTTGTGAGTTTGAGCCCCACGTTGGGTGTAGAGATTACTTTAAAAAATAAAATCTTAAAAAAAGTTAAATCAGTCCATATCCAATGGAAGTCCCAAAATTAATGCCAATCTCAAGGAGGAGTAGGGAGGTGGGGGATTTATGTTTCCAGGTCCTCATTTCTAGGAAAGATGTTTCTCTTCCACACCAATTAGACCCCAGAGGCAACACAGTCTTTAGTTACTTTGTCTTCCTTCCCCCTTCCACACATTACTCAGATAAGAGTCTCCTGAATGTGGAAGTGTGATCAAAGATTTAGAGCAAAAGCAGGACTTGCACTATAATAGCATAAACATCTCTAAATGCAACATCAGGCACCACCATTCTTTTTTTTTTTTTTTTAAGACTTTGACAGGGAGGTAGAGGACAAGCAGGGGAAGTGGGAGACAGAGGAGCTGACTCCCCACTGAGCAAGGGGCCGGAACTTGGGACTCAATCCCAGGACCCTGGGATCATGACCTCAGCCAAAGGTAGATGCCTAACTTACAGAGCCACCCAGGCATTACCATTTTTCTTTTAAGATTTTACTTATTCGTGAGAGACACACAGAGCGAGGCAGAGACACAGGCAGAGAGAGAAGCAGGCTCCGTCAGGGGAGCCGGATGAAGGACTCGATCCCAGGACTGGGGGGTCAAGACCTGGGCCAAAAGGCGCTCAGCCACTGCGCCAGCAGGTGCCCTTGGCCACCACCATTCTCCAAATGCCCTTCCTCTTCTCCACTGTGGGAGAACTTCAGTGATTTCTGCACCCACCTAGATCCAATCTCTTTTTATTTCCCTTTTATTCTTTCCATTTTTATCACGGGCATTTCGCCCTCCTTGGATCGCGACGGCGAGCAGCCTAGTGACACTGGTCGGCCCGGGTTCCCGCCCCGGAGTCTCCCCCTTGGGCAAGCGCACACTCCCAGGCGAAGGCGGTTTTCTCCTCTAAAATCAAGTCCGGTTTTCCCTCCGCCTTCCCCGACTTCTTCCTATAAATACTGAAAGAGAAAACTATGCAAGGTCTTAGCCCACAGGGCGGAAGACTCCTTTCCTCCGTGCGTGCAGCACAGCGCCGGGTGCCAGCCCGGAGGCAGCGGCGCGGGCAGCTGCGAACCGGGGCGCGTGCGGACCGGCCGCCGCCCGCGGAGCCGCCTCGGTGCCTCCGCTCCGGCCTCTGCCAGGCGGCTGGGCCCTCGGGCCCCCGCGGCTTCTCACTCGCCCGCGCCCTTTCCCGCCGGACGCGTGAGACTACATCTCCCGAGAGGCCGCGCCGGCCCCCCGCCCCCGGCCCCCGGCCCGCGCCATGGCGACGGCGTGACGTGGGGGCGCCGGGAGCTGCGGGCGCGGCGGGAGCAGCGGGCGCAGCGGGCGCGGCCTCAGTTCCAGGCTCCCCGCCCGCCCAGGCGGGAGCAGGGCGACAGCAGCCGCGGCCCAGGGCGCCGCCGCCTCGCGCCAAGCCCGCCGCCGGCCGCCGCTCCTCCGCAGTGAGGGGGCCCGCGGGCGCCGCCGCCGACCGGGCGAGGGGCGCACGGCCTCGGGGCGCATGGCCTCGGCGGGCGCGCGCCGGCTCCCCGGAGGGACGCGCGCGGCGGCCCAGCGCTGCTGCGGCTTCGCGCTCCGCCCGGCCCCGCCCCCGGGCCCGCCGCGGCCGCCGCAGCCGCCGCGGCCAATGAGGTGAGGGGGAGGCGCGAGCGCCCGCGCGGGCGGCGAGGGGTCGCCCGGGGCGGCGGGGGCGGGGGCCGGGGCGGGGCGCGGCCTCCCCGGGGTCTCTCGGGGCGCTGGCCTTCCAGCCCCGGGGGGCGCCCAACCGCTGCTTGCCGCTGGCGGGCCCCGAGGCCGCGGCCCCCGAGTCCTAGCTCTTAGCCGCGTCGCGGTCCCCCGCTCAAAGGATGCACCCCACTTTTGCCCGGCCCCCCCCAGCACTGTCCTCGGCCGCCCTCGACCTTTCGCACTCGTGACTGCCGCGCCGCGGCGCCCGGCAGGCCGCAGCAGGTGCTGGGCAAAGCTTGTCCGGACGCCCTGCCTGGGATGCGCCCCGCTCCCCCGGGATGCCTGAGGGACACAAACAGTCATGACTTCCTCTCTCCTTTCCTCTTGTCCTTAGATTTCTGACGCCCTGCAGCCTTTTCTTGCCCCGCGCTGCCCAGGTCTTGGGGGCTGAGGTTGGCTTACCTCCCTCTCGTTCCTTCATGGGCTTTGCAGCCCCCTTCACCAACAAGCGAAAGGCTTACTCCGAGCGTAGGATCATGGGGTGAGCATCCTCCCCCCTCCAGCATCCTTACACCTTCCCTTCGTCTCCAAATGACTAACTCCAGGCTAGGATGCAAGGTGGCAGTGGTGGGCTAGCTTCCTCCCCAGCCATCCCTCTCCCCAGCTATTATTACTGATCCTTTATCCTTCCCTGCTAGCCTTCCAACCTTAATTTTCCCCTTCCTCGTTGCCCTGTCAATTAAACGAAACATTATTATGTTTGGACAGTATAAGACGACAGGGTATTGTCCCTCTGCTGACCTTTTACACGTATTCGTGGGCAAAATAAAAATACTAACTGAGCACTTGCTACGGCTAGTAGTTAGGCTACTTAGGTGTTTTACATAGTTTTTCTCATTTAATCCTGTCAACAAACCTATGAATCAAGTACTAAGTCTGATTTATAGATGAGAAAACGGAGGCACAGGTAATTTTACCTAGGGCTACATTGTTAGAAAGTTGTAGAGCTAGGATCTGAGTTCTTGTGATCACCAATGAAATTAGTAGCCTCTGTTCCCCCTAGATGGTCCCACTTAGGATCAAAATAGATAATAAATGCTGGGCAGCCCAAGTGGCTCAACTGTTTATCGCCACCTTCAACCTAGGGCATGATCCTGGAGACCCCGGATCGAGTCCCACGTCGGGCTCCCTGCATGGAGCCTGCTTCTCCCTCTGCCTGTGTCTCTGCCTGCCTGTGTGTCTCATGAATAAATAAAATCGTAAAAAAAATAGATAATAAATGCAAAAGCATTCTGTGAACTGCAAAACATAACCTCTCTCTGTGACTCCTTACCCTAGGTACTCCATGCAGGAGATGTTCGAAGTGGTGTCCAATGTCCAGGAGTATCGTGAGTTTGTGCCCTGGTGTAAGAAGTCCTTGGTGGTATCTAGCCGCAAAGGTCACCTGAAGGCCCAGTTAGAGGTTGGCTTTCCACCTATAGTGGAACGTTATACATCTGCTGTTTCCATGGTCAAACCTCACATGGTCAAGGTGAGGCACTGGGAGGGATTAATCAGCAAAGTTTTTATATTTTTTAGCATTTTTTACACTGAAGGGTTATTTTGGCCTTCCTTGTAGTGATTTTATCAATACTTCCCTAATAAAACATTAGAAGGAAAGGAAGACATTTTTCAGTTCTTTCTTATACACTCTTGTACTCATTATAGGTTTTTTAAAGTACTTATTAAAGGTTTCATTCTATTGTAATATTATTTGACTAACTGCCCTCTTCTAGGCTGTTTGCACTGATGGTAAGCTCTTCAACCACTTAGAGACCATTTGGCGATTCAGCCCTGGTATTCCTGCCTATCCTCGAACTTGCACTGTGGACTTTTCGGTGAGTCAGGAGGCTGTGGAGCATAGAGCAACAACTGGATTGTGAAGGCTGGGCAGAGGTACTGTGACAGTTATTAAGTATGGCTAGGACTTGGTATTGCCCAAGTCAATGACACTTTCCAGAGGTCTGAGCTTACATCAAACTTTACTCTGTGCTCAGTCCTAAGTAAGGGCTTTTGAGGGGATTTAAGGAACTGGAGTGGGTAAGGGAAGAAAGGACTATCCACCAAGGTCTTGAATAGTTTCTCTTACCCATTCCCAGATTTCCTTTGAATTTCGTTCTCTACTGCACTCCCAGCTGGCCACCATGTTTTTCGATGAGGTTGTCAAACAGAATGTCGCTGCCTTTGAACGTCGGGCAGCCACCAAGTTTGGTCCAGAAACAGCCATACCCCGTGAACTGATGTTCCATGAGGTGCACCAGACTTGAGGCAGGATTGTTCCCTGGCCTCTCCTCTCCCTCCCAACCCAATTCTCTTATTTATTTCATTTGACTTCTGCTCCAATGTAACAGAAGAGTCTGTGTTCATAATGATATTCTCCCTCTCAATTCCCCAGAAATTGGGTTATAAGCTGGCTGGAAATGCTGGGGCAGAAAAGCAGGAGGTTATGGAAAGAAGACGTGCCTAGGAAATGGTCAGGCTCATCTTGAGAGCCTCATATGTCTGATGTCTGCAGCCTTCTCACGGGGAATTATAATCACGACTGTTGGTTGTCTTTGGACCCTGTCAAGATGCCTTAGTGTCTGACCAGGGGAACATTGCAACTTTTCCAGAGATTGAATAAACTGAACTTTTTCCTCTGACAGAGAGGTACTGGGTAGTCAATAACCTGCCTGCCTGAGATGTCTCAGGAAATGCTAGATCTGGCCCAAGCTTGAAATCCATATGAACTCACTTTAAGAATATTTCCATGCTGCCTGGTTAGTGGAGAGCAAGGGGCTGTCAACATCAGTGCCACAGGGGCAAGGAGAATAAAAGCACTGAAGAGAATTGTACTCTTGGGTTGTACCTTTTTCCACTTGGCTGAGTTTTTATAAAATTTCAATAAATTAATTGTGACAGTGTGAATTTGGCATTTTTATACTGTTTCTTCGGGGGAACAATGTGGATATAGCAGAGAAGAAGAAAGTCATGGCTTCCTCAGGGGAGTAAAGATGCAAGAAGGCCTCTTGGACATAGTGTCCCTGCTAACTATAGTAGCACATTCTACAAGCCAGGACCTAGTACCCACTCCCTTGCCTATTTATAGACTTTTTCAGAAGGTCAGTTGCAGCAGGAGTCTCAGGACAGGATAATCTGGCCTCAGATCTACCATATAGCCCATGGCCTCAGGACCACCTCTTATTCTGAAGACCTTTAAGAGACTGCAAGGAACGGGCATTCCACACAGCACCAGAGCCCTCTAGTGGCTCAGGTCCAGAGCTAGCGGTCCTCCTGTTTGCCCTTGGTATGCTTTGTTCCTTTCACCCAGTGGGCTGGACCAGCTTCCTTGGATTAGCCACAGAAGCAGGTGTGAGGTCTCAGCTAAGGTCCTTGAGTGTGCTATCTTATGACAAAATTAAGCAGGATGGGGGCGCTGAACAATAAGGACTTCTAACCTTGAGAGGAGACAGGAGACAGAACTCTCCTTTGGAAATTTCACAGGGATCCTGTCTTATTCGTGTAAATGAATGTCAGACCCAACTAAAGATAAAGGTGCGCACAAGACAACTTAGAACCCACTTAGTCCAGGATCTTGCTAGCCATATTCCTTATTTTATAACAGAAATTCTTCCAGGCCTTATTTAATAGCAGGCTCAAGCATTGTTAATAAAAACATTTATTTTGCATTTTATACAGAACAACCTGAAGTCTGGATCATGACTTGACAGTTACCCAGGGGTTTACAGACAATGTGTCCATCTCAGCGTGGCTCTAGGGATTAGGGATCCACACAAACACAGGCAGGAGTTTGCAAGGGAGGAAGGGGGCACAGTAGGAGTGTATTTCAATCCTTTCTTAAAGAAAAGGCAGTAGAGCATTCTGAGTCACTGAAAACCTGTGCAAATGGGGCTTCTAAGAAATAAGCATTGTACTGTAAGTTCTTGGGGAAGGGACTGGATAAGGACCTTGATAAATAAAGGGATATTTCCTTGTAGCAGGAAAAGAGAAGGGAGGCCTACTATTGAACCTGATAGTCAAAGGAAACCACGTCCAATCTTAAATAATTTCCCTGCTCAGAAAGTAGTACCTATATCCCTGGAACCAGACTCTGAAGATACCATTCTGGACATTCCCAAGTCCTTATTCAGTGGCCTATAGCATATTAAAATAAAGGGGAGAAAAAAGGTCAGAGGGTAGTGGCTTGTGTTCTGCAGAAGTGAAAACTTAGATCATGTTAAGCACTCATAAAGCCAAATGACTGGGAAGGACTACTGCTTACTTAGATAGTGGCATATATGACCTGCTGAAAGAGGTCTCTAGTAAGGACCAAGAAGGGTAGGTCCAGAGCACCCTCAGCTTGAAGTGCAGCAGGTACAGAAAATCTGGAAGGAGGGAACAAAAGTAGTGGGGAATGGAACACTTCAGATCTTAATTTTCATGGGATAATTAAAAAAAAAAAAAAAAAAACCAACAACACTGGGTGCCAGTCACAAAATGTTAATGGCCTTTATGGTCACTTGATAGCATAAAAAAAAATGCCAAAGATGTCCAACTAACCAACAGGTCTTGCTAGGAAGTGTCGGTGTGCATGGAAGAGGGTGATGGGGCTTTATAGAGCTGATAATCCAACATGATTCCTATGGAAACAAAAAAGGCGGAGTCCTGATTTGCTGGCCTACAGAGGGCTGGAGAGAACAGAACTGAAAGCTCTGAAGTGACTGCAGATTCTCTGCAACCAGCTTTAACCCATGGAAAGGAGAGCCAGATTCTCACTCTAGAGATGGTGGGGGGCCCAAACCTAACCCATACCACATGCATTAGTCCTGGTCACCCTACAGTTGATGGGCAACTCACCAGGCAAGAGAAAGGAACTGGTTGGGGAGGAAGGGGTTACTTTTTATCTCTTAAAGTCTTTATATTTTAACCTCCAACTTATTATCAGTGCCTCAGATACAATTTAATCTTAAGTCTTAAAAAGCCCCCTGAAACAAAACAAAATTATACTTTTTTTTTTAAAGCTCCCTCACTTTCTGGTAGTTAGTCTCCCCCAGTCTTCAGTTTTACCCTGACTTAGAGTCCACAAACTTCATCAGACCATCTGTGCTCATGGACTTGGGCCTCTCTAGTGGGAAGCCTAGGGCTCGGCTCCAGATGAGCTGTGCCAGTACACCCAGTGCTCGTGATACCCCAAACAGGACTGTGTAGTAATTCATCTCTGTCATGCCGTAGTACTGTAAGATAAAAGAGAGAAAAGTTCTGTTAAAGGCCCTGAGGTAATGGCACGCACAAGTTCAGGGTGACACAAACCTTAACCAAGTCAGCCTTAAATAGAAATGAAACTAGGAATAATACAATAATTGGGATTCTGAAAAGAGAGCACCCTTTCCTCTTGCCTGCACCTGCCCTCCGCCATAGGCAACTTTATCAAAGGGGTAAGGAAGAAGGTATGAGTCTTTGCTCTGACTACAAGGTTGACTTTCTGCATGGCAGAGAACATTAGGGGTTGGCACAAATTAAAGGGAAAGCAGGGACAGGAAGGCTCACCTGGAGCAGCACGCCACTGTGAGCATCTACATTGGGCCAAGGGTTCTTGGCCTTGCCCTGCTCTAACAGGACATTGGGCACAATCTTGTACAGCTGAGCAACCAGCTTAAACATGGAGTCATGAGGCAGGTGTTTCAGAGCAAACTCTCGCTGACAGGTATATCGTGGGTCAGTCTTCCTTAGTACTGCATGGCCATAGCCTGGGACAACCTGCGAAGAAAGGGTAAAAAAGCCAGTTGTATTCTCAAGTAGATGTTCTTGTCTTTTCTAAATTCTTTAGGATAGACAAATATGGGGGAGGGGGGCCTTCTCTAACTTAGTGACCTCTTTCATTCTATTTTCCTTAATTCTTCCAAATCATGCAACTTGGGTCTTGGTTTCTTTCCTAGTTGCTAAGCATCTCTGCTTACCCGTCCTGAGTTCAGTGTGTTCCATATGTAGTCTCGTAACTTCTCATCTGACACATCTTTGCCAACTTCTTTCTGTAGTTGTGTGAGCCAAACAAGTACTTCCTATGGGTTAGGTTTGGGGAATAAGATAGTGTCAACACATATGCCAAGAGAGAATGCCAAGATCAGAAGAAAAGCACGAGAGTAAGAAAAGCATGGAGCAGAAAAGGAAAAAGAAGTCTTACCTGATTTGCCAAACCATGCAGGGGCCCTGCTAGCCCATTCATGGCTGCCGCAAAGGACAGGTAGGGGTCTGAAAGGGCACTGCCCACCAGGTGGCTGGTATGGGCACTTACATTGCCTCCCTCATGGTCACTGCGAGGAAGTAAGAAAGGAGAATCAAGGCCAAGAGAAAGAGGAGGAAAAAGGGGCAGGCTATAGAAATACACACCTTGCTGTTCTCTCATCACATGCTAGCCTACTTATGGGCTCATACCAGCCTATAGCAGCCAATGATACAGAAGCTTTTGTAAGAGATGTCCCAAACTCATTACCAGCCTTTATTCACTAATCCACAGGGCTGGAGAGGTCATTGGTTGATGACGCCTGTGTGACAAGTTTCTGGACTCTCACTCCAGCTTTAATAGCAATGGCCAGAAGAGGGAGCTCCTAGAAAGCTGAATGATCATCTACTGTGACAACAACTTTCCCCCCAAGCATTACTTTGTTCTTAAAAGTGGTTATGGTAATCTCCCTACACCTCTGGATTTCCTTTACTAGACTCCTTTCTTGCCTTGTGTGATCCCTCATGCCATGTTTCCACCTCCTTGCTGCCTACCACCTGTTCCCAGAAGATGAGAATGTGAAGGAGCTTTTCTTAAAAATTTCTATCAATCCAGGGCAGCCTGGGTGGCTCAGCGGTTTAGCACCGCCTTCGGCCCAGGGCATGATCCTGGAGGCCCGGGATTGAGTCCCATGTCGGGCTCCTTGCATGGAGCCTGCTTCTCCCTCTGCCTGTATTTCTGCCTCTCTCTCTCATAAATAAATAAAATCTTAAAAAAAAAAAAATTCTATCAATCCCTGGTAGCTATGGTTGCTAGGTCTAGCTTACCTGTGGATGGTGAGGTACAAGCGCATGAGCTCAGTGAACTGAGCATCAGTATAGCCTAACATGTTGGTAAAATTGTGGGACCAGTCCAGCTTAGAGTCAATGGCCCCAATACTGCTGCCCTCTCGGTAGAGATTCCGGTAAATCTTTGCTGCAACACAAGGTAGCTTTGCGATCAGATCCATACAATCTTCATAAATCAACTGTTGAGGAAAATAGAGGGGGGAAAACAAAAGGATTATCAATAAAAAAGAATTAAGCAAGGATGCTCTTTGTACTCCATGGATTGGGCTATTTGGTTAATGGTTTCATGCTCAGTGATTATATATGGAGGGTAACAATAACTATTTAACTGAATAATTTTTATGACCCAGGCTCTGCACTAAATGATTCACACATAATATCTCATGTATATCTTGTGCATTAGGACATAGTAACCTCCATTTTACAGGTGAGGAAACAAGTTCAGAGCATTCAGTTAAATGCCAAAGTCAGATTAAAAAAAAAAAAAGGTTTATTTATTTTTGAGGGGGTTGAGGGAGAAACGGAGAATCTCCAAAAGACTCCCTACTGAGCATGGAGCCTGACCATGTGGGGCTTGATCCTATGACTCTGAGAGATCATGACGTAAGCCAAAATCAAGAGTTGGACACTTAACTAACTGAGCAACCCAGCACGCCCACTTTTATGTTTAATCATGATCTTTCCCACTACATGACTTAATGCACTAAGACACTAGGTTTTAAGAATCAAGTCTATGTTTCACCTTTCTTTTCTTTTCTTTTTTTAATGATTTTATTTATTTATTCATAGAGACACACAGAGAGAGAGACAGAGAGGCAGAGGCACAGGCAGAGGGAGAAGCAAGGTCCGTGCAGGGAGCCTGATGTGGGACTCAATCCAGGGTCCCCAGGATCAAACCCCGGGCTGCAGGTGGCGCTAAACCGCTGCGCCACCAGGGCTGCCCTATGTTTCATCTTTTAAAGAAAATTCACCATATATACCAAGGGTCAAACAGTGGCACTCAACTGCTAGTTAATAACAAAGACTTCTGTTTTGTAAGCACTTATTATATAACAGGTACTGTGATACGTTATTTGCATTTTTTTCTTTTCTCACAATAGCCCTGTAAGGTAATATATCCCTCATTTTATAAATGAAAAAGTTTGGAAGCTTGGCCAGGTCAAGTAACTTGCCCAAAGTTACCCAAGTTACCCACTCAGCTAATAAGCATCATGTAGCTTAAACAATTTTTAACTCATGGACAATCTTGTTTCATCTATACCCTTACTTTCACCTTCCCCCTCCCAAATTATTTTGAGCGAATTCGAAATATCATATATTCCAACATGTAAATATATAAGCATATAACTCTAAAGATAAAGGCTGTGAAAAAAATCATAAAGCCATTAGCCTATAGGAAAAAAAATGAACAAATCCTCGGTATTACTAAATATCTACTGAAAATAGCCCACACTGCAATCATCTCACATCTTTGAACTTTTTTTTAAATTTTACTTTATTTTTTTAAAAGATTTTATTTATTTATTTATTCATGAGAGACACTTGGGCTGCCCTAAGTCTCTTTTGATCAACGTTGGGTTCCCTCTTGTGGTTTTTTTTTTTTTTTTTTTTTTTTTTGGAACTACTTTGCAATTTATTTGTGTAAAATCGGATCACTCGTTCTGGAGAATTTCCCAGTTTAGATTTTGCTGGTTATATACCTGTGATGTCATTTAACTTGTTCCTATTCCTCTGTCTACTGTATTTTCTACAAACTGAGAGATCTAAAGGCTTGAGTAGTTTCATATTCAAAATTTTTTTTTTTTAGCAAGACTACCCAAGTGACCACCTAGTGATGTATGCAAGTATTGAACCACTATATTGTAACCTGAAACTAGTATTATACTGTATGTTAACTGGAATTTAAACCTTAAAAAAGGGCAGCCCGGGTGGCTCAGCGGTTTAGTGTTGCCTTCAGCCCAGGGCGTGATCCTGGAGACCCGGGATCCAGTCCCGCGTCGGGCTCCCTGCATGGAGCCTGCTACTCCCTCTGCCTTGTGTCTCTGCCTCTCTTTCTCTCTCTGTGTGGGTCTCTCATGAATAAATAAATAAAATCTTTAAAAATAAATAAAAATAAAAAGCGTATCTTTACAAAAATAAATAAAAATAAACCTTAAAAAAAAAAAGACTACCTAATAAATAGTGCTGTTTATTTACTAATAGAAACAGAAAAAGAAGGGGCAGCCCGGGTGGCTCAGCGGTTTAGCGCCACCTTCAGCCCAGGGTCTGATCCTGGAGACCCAGAATCGAGTCCCATGTTGGGCTCCCTGCATGGAGCCTGCTTCTCCCTCTGCCTGTGTCTCTGCCTCTCTCTTTCTTTCTCTCTGTGTGCCTCTCATGAATAAATAAGTAAAACTAAAAAACAAACAAAAAAAGAGAAGTAAGTTGATACGGCATAACTCTTGATTTTAGGGTTGTAAATTCAAGCCCCATGTTGGGTGTAAGAGATTACTTAAAAATAAAATCTTAAAAAAAAAAAAAGAGGAAAATAGAATTTAGCTGTCTCTTTTGGGGATATTAGCTTGCTCAACTCTTCGGTCTCAATATTATCTTCTCAAAGGGATTTTAAGTTCCTCAGGGACAAGACAGAGTTTTGGCATTGTTTTCTTTTTGGAAATAACTTAAAAAAAAATCTGCTTTTGGGACGCCGGGGTGGCTCGGTGGTTTAGTGCCTGCCTTGGGTTCAGGGTGTGATCCTGGGGTCCTGGGATCAGGTCCCACATCAGGCGCTTCTCCCTCTGCCTGTGTCCCTGCCTCTCTCTCTGTATTTCTCATGAATGAATAAATGAATGAACGAATAAATAAATAAATCTGCTTTCATCCATAGTTCCAGGTACATAGAAAGCATGGAATAAACACTTGCTGGTTGATATTATTATGTAGTGCTAATACACAAGTTATTATTTTTTAAAATTTCATTTATTTATTCATGAGAGACACACAGAAAGAGAGAGAGAGAGAGGCAGAGACATTGGCAGAGGGAGACGCAGACCCCATGCAAGGAGCCCGATGTGGGACTCAACCCCGGGACTCCAGGATCACGCCCTGGGCGCAAGGCAGGTGCTAAACCGCTGAGCCACCCCACGGATCCCAATACACAAGTTAAATAGCTAAATGCTCCTGCAAGAAGGCAGGAGGTTTCAGTAGTTCTGTTCAAAGAAAGAACAAAACCTATTAATAACTAGCCAAAATGAGTTAATCCCTATGAAGTCACAAGTTATTCAAGTATCAAATATTTTGTGAATTTTGTCAATGTCACTGGATTCAATAATAATTAAAAAGCTACTAGAAGCAAGAAATATTCAGCTAACACTTGCAAGTTCTCAGGAGATTACTTTTGTGATAATCATACTCTAACCACACACACCTCCTTACAGATTTATATCCTCCAAGGAAGTAGGTTACTTCCAGAAGCCTGCATCAAGTATATGTAGTCCTAAGAGACTTGGATTAATTAGCATAATGCCAAGAAGAACAGGATCCTGGGCTAGACAAATTGTTATCTGTGGAGTATATACTAACTTGCAAAACTATTTGGAAAGTAATGATTGGCCACATCAAAAAGAAACCACATAAAGGAGATTGTGTTCATTTCCACTACTGAGAATGAAGTTTATAAACCAACATGTATCAGACCAAGTATGACAACATGGGATCCTTAAGCTGTTTTTGTAGTGGTCAATGCTGTATAGTCAAGAAGAGATCAAAATCAAAACTGACAGAAAACTCTTGTTATCTCTTTCTTTATTTTTTTTTTTAATTTTATGATAGTCACAGAGAGAGAAAGAGAGAGAGGCAGAGACATAGGCAGAGGGAGAAGCAGGCTCCATGCACGGGGAGCCCGATGTGGGATTCGATCCCAGGTCTCCAGGATCGTGCCCTGGGCCAAAGGCAGGCGCCAAACTGCTGCGTCACCCAGGGATCCCATCTCTTTCTTTAAAAAAAAATTTTTTAAATATCTTTATTTATTTGAGAGAGAGAGAGAGATCTCAGAAGGTGAGGGAAAAGCAGACTTGCCGCTGAGCAGGGAACCCAACCAATGTGGTACTCCATCCCAGGATGGTGAGGTCATGATCTGAGCTGAAAGCAGACGCTTAACCAACTGAGCCACCCAGGTGCCCCCTAATTTCTTTTTTTTCTTTTTAATATTTTATTTATTTATTCATGAGAGACGCGGAGAGAGAGGCAGCGAAACAGGCAGAGGGAGAAGTAGGCTCCCCACAGGGAGGAACTCAATCCCAGGATCCCGGGATCAAGACCTGAGCCAATGGCAGATGCTCCACCACTGAGCCACTCAGGCATCCCCCTATTTCTTTTTTTAATAAGTTAAGACTGAGATGCTATTTAGCTATTTGTGCCAAAACACTCTTCATTGATACAGCCTTGTGGGAGAAAAAAAAAGGCAATTAAGACAGGCCAACATCACAACTATCTGGAATAAGGATTATAAGGATTGTAAAGCTGACCATAATCATCATCGTGAGTTGTGGCCAGGTAGTTCGCTTTCAATCATTATTAAGAAGACACAGAGAGGGATCCCTGGGTGGCGCAGCGGTTTGGCGCCTGCCTTTGGCCCAGGGCGCGATTCTGGAGACCCCGGATCGAATCCCACGTCGGGCTCCCGGTGCATGGAGCCTGCTTCTCCCTCTGCCTCTTTCTCTCTGTGTGACTATCATAAAATAAAAAAAAAAATAAAAATAAAAAAAATTAAAAAAAAAAAAAGAAGACACAGAGAGAGAGAAAAAAAAAAAAAAAAAGACGACACAGAGAGGGGCAACTCGGGTGACTCAGGGGTTTAGTGCCGCCTTCAGCCCAGAGCATGATCCTGGAGACCCAGGAATGAGTTCCACGTCAGGCTCCCCACATGGAGCCTGCTTCTCTCTCTGCCTGTGTCTCTGCCTCTATGTCTCTCATGAATAAATAAATAAAATCTTAAAAAAAAAAAAAAACAAAAAAAGAAATAGTGTGTCTGACCTTTGAAAGAGACACAAGATGTAACAGCAAAAGAGCATGAAGCTCTACTAAACTAAAGCAGTTACTGGTGCTAATATTGGTGCAGTGTGAACTTATCAGACACACATCCTCTAAGGCTGACAAATACATCAGTACCACTTATAAATACTCTCCAAAAGATTGGCAAAGTCCTGGAACATAACATGTTTACTTCAAGACAACTCCACTCAGATGACATCTCACGAAGAGATAATGGCAGAACAGTCAATCAATGATTACACCGAAACAAGATTCATTTTAATGATTCAATAAAGGACAGTATGAAACAATGAAGCATGCTTGGATTCCTGGGAAATATCTTATAGGTCTATTATAAAGCATGAAGAAGCTATTTTCTCCTCCTGTCGTGACAGTCAAGAAAATAGCACTGTGAGTAGTAACAGGCAGATCCGAGTGGTCAATTTCTAAAAGACAAGGGTTTTGTTTTGTTTTTTAAAGATTTTATTTATTTATTCATGAGACAAGAGAGAGAGAGAGAGGCAGAGACACAGTCAGAGGGAGAAGTAGGCTCCACGTAGAGAGCACAATGTGGGACTCAATCTCAGGACGCTGGGATCACACCCTGAGCCAAAAGCAAACACTCAATTGCTGAGCCACCCAGGCGTCCGGAAGAGACAAGTCTTAAAATAGGAGAATGCTGGTCTCAATTTAACCTTTTCTGCTATGGTGACCCACACAAATAACAATTACCTGAGTAACATTTAAAAAAGAAAATGGAAAAAAAAAAAAAAAGAAAAGAAAATGGAGGGACGCTTGGGTGGCTCAGTTGTTGAGCGTCAGCCTTCGGCTCAGGGTGTGATCCTGGAGTCCTGGGATCAAGTCCCGCATTGGGCTCCCTGCGTGGAGCCTGCTTCTCCCTCTGCCTGTGTCTCTGCCTCTCTCTCTGTGTGTCTCTCATTAATAAATAAATAAAATCTTAAAAACATACAAATAAATAGGAAAAATGGAAAGCAATATATTCAGATTATACAACCTTCTGAACCTGCTGATACAGGGCTTTATGAATGCTTTAAGTACTTGTGAATGTGTATATTTTCCATAATTCCTATGCCTTCTTTCACAGTGCCAACCTAATTTCAAACTCCCTTCCACTTTCCCCCAATAGCAAACACAATTCAATACACAGTTGGCATTGAGTAAGTATTGACCAACCAAATGAAGCAGGATTTGCCAAAACCCCAAAAGGATTGCATCAGATCAGTGGACTGTGCATGTTATTCTGTGCCATGCATCTAGTAAACTCTTTGGGGGCTTTCTCCTGGTCAAATCATCTATCTAGTGTATCTGCTTCACAAAAAGGGACCATTCTGTTCCTATTTTACCTGTCTCCAAATAAGAAAAGAAAATGAGATGGATGTCTTGCTATAAACCTAGCCAGATAACTTGTACTTTACCCAGTGTTTGTGAATACCATGTAGGGTACTGGAAAGAGGATGGAAGGAGTTATGTACTATGCACTGGGACAAGGCAGTCTTCTCATATTCCAAACAGTTCAAACTAGCAGGGCCACATCTCATTTTCAGAAATCAAAGCTTATTTGTTTCTGGATCCTACTCCCAGGGTAGTAACCACCCTTCTGCTGTGAGACAGTACAGAACATTGGCAGACTGGCATTAGTTCTCCTAGCTAAACTGAAAACTGCCTTAGCTGTCATTCACCTAACATCCCAAGATCTTCCTCATTTGAGGACAAGAACAAGAAAAAGGGACATTTGGGGCTAGGGTAGACTACTCTGTGAAATCTTCCTCAGGGATCCTGTAGTTAAGTCACATCTTTTTCAATGTTCCAACAGCCCTGTGTAATATACCCTATTGCAGCAAGATTTACTGAACTGTATTTTTTTTACATGTATCTCACCCTAATCAAACCAATAACCTTGGTGATAGAAAGCATGTTCCATTTATCTATATAATCCCAAGGACCAAAAGAAAAAGCAAGCCTAAAATAAAAATTTGTTAAATGAGCTTCTGTCATAACGCAGAGTAGTAATCCTCTTAAAGATTCTACATTCCTTTTTCTTCCTTCACACTCAAGTGCTTTAAATCCCCATCACACATCAATCAATACACCAAAATTTCTTACCTCCCAGTACTTGGTTCGGTTGATACCCTCTGCATATGCTCGGGCAAAGTTACTTTCACTGTTGAGGGCTGTAATGGCTGCACTGAGCTGAGACATAGGGTGTAGATTGGTAGGAAAGTTGTCCAGCATGGTGACCACATGGGAAGGTAGAGCTGCCCTCTTTGCCCACTCTTTTGAGAGCCAAGACACCTGTAGAAAGGCAGACATTGCTCATAACACTAGGCAAGGGAAAAAGAGAAATAAAAAAGACAGTGACATCTAAATAAAGAAAATCCAAGAGAATTAAACTCAGTCCACTTATACTGCAGAACTCTGTTCTGATTCCTTCCCCTTACTACATATCCCTACAAACTACCACCCAGAGCCAAATCAGGATTAAGTGCCTGAGATTAGAGAAAGGCAAAGAAGGAGAAAGAGAAGGGCTAACTAATATCCTTCTGCTTTACCTGTTCTTCTGTTGGGATTTGTCCAGTTACCAGCAACCAAAATAAGCCCTCTGGCAGGGGTTCTTCACCGCCTTTAGCCTTAGGCAGCAGTTTCTGGCACTCAGGGATACTATAGCCTCGGAAACGGATGCCCTTGAGGGAAAAGAGTTAGGAGGTACAAATTTTAAATTTACTAGCCTGGAAGTCACATAATTGACTAGTCTCATTCTTATCAGACCTTTCAACAAGTTAGAATAGAATTTTTAAAGCTTAAAAAAAATTTTTTTAAAAGCTTAAATCTTCACATAACTTAATTCTGTTTAGTACTTTTAGTTTTATTAGGTAATATATCGAAAAGGTAGACTTGTTCTTCAGTTATCCCACACGTACCTATTTTCCATACACAAAGACAAATGCTTTGTTTTCTTTACCCTCATCAGTCTAATCTATGGTGCGCACAACAGTCAGTAAACTATGATTAGTGTTGACATGAGGGTCTCTTACCTCATCAGGATCAAGAACTGATGTTTCATATACTAATCCCTTCATGCCTCTCATGCCACCGTACATCTAAAGAAAAAGAGAGGATAGGATGTAACAAGTAGTCAGAATAATTCAGGGTAGAGCTTGTTAGTGTTCCATGGCATCTGAGAAAGGAAATGTACTTCCTGACTTGCAAGACTTCATTCATAGATTTCTGAGAGGTTTACTTACTATAGAACAGAACTTTGCAGGGAAGCCTGCTAACACTGGAAATGAAAATTTTAAGTTGAAAAATCTGTCTTTATTTATTGTGTCTGCCTCTGCTTCCTTCTCTTCTTGTATTTTATTCTTTATTCTACCCATTCTTACTCCTTCATTCCCACAACCAAAGTCAACAGAATGCGATCTACAACAGGGAAAGGAGATAGAGACCAAAGACTAAACACTGCTGTGGAATTATCATTTGAGCTGCTCAGACTCTTAGAGCTGGGGAAGCCATCCTAAGGTTGTTCTAGACCACCTGCTGGAGCTGATCTAGGTGTATAAATGATCAACACAGCATTAGCTCTAACAGAGTCCTGGCCCCAAAAGCTGAGGGGTTGGGAAGAGGAATAGATACTTCATTCATCTCTCCATGGGTAAATTAATCTAGGCTCAACTATTAAATTTATTTAAAAATACTGGGGATCCCTGGGTGGCTCAGCAGTCTGGCGCCTGCCTTTGGCCCAGGGCGCGATCCTGGAGTCCCGGGATCGAGTCCCGTGTTGGGCTCCCGGCATGGAGCCTGCTTCTCCCTCCTCCTGTGTCTCTGCCTCTCTCTCTCTATATATATATCTATCATGAATAAATAAATCTTTAAAAAAATAAAAATTAAAACAGTCTAGGGCGCCTGGGTGGCTCAGTCAGTTAAGCGTCTGCCTTCAGCTCAGGTTGTGATCCCAGGGTCGTGGGATGGAGTCTCACATTGGGCTCCCTGCTCATGAGGAGTCTGTTTCTCCCTCTATCTCTGCCTCCCTTTTTCTCCCTCATAAGTAAATAAATAAATCTTAAAAAAAAAAAAAAAAAAAAAAAAAAAAAAAAAAAAAACAAAGAACATTCTAATTTCTAATGAACATCTTAAGCTCCAACTTTTCCATGTATGGGACAGAATGCTTCTGAATAGTCAGTGAAGAGAATTTTTTTTTAAGATTTATTAAAAAAAAAAAAAAGATTTATTTATTCATGGAAGACACAGAGAGAGAGGGAGAGACAGAGGCAGAGAGAGAAGCAGGCTCCAGGCAGGGAGCCTGATGTGGGACTCGATCCTGAGACCTTGGGATCACGCCCTGAGCCAGGGGCAGGTACTCAACCGCTGAGCCACCCAGGCGTCCCAAGAGAATGGTATTTTTGTTGAAGCACATTACAGAGCTACTTTTTCCAGCCAAAACCCCACAATCTTTACCATGTCCACAGTGATTTGGCCCACTACTGTCTTGCCATGTTGCTGCCTGAAGGTCTTTATTCTGGCCTGCTCCTTCGGTATCAAATCGGCCAATATGTCTTTCAAATTCTAAAAAGAGACAGAGAGGTTAGGTGATGGTCAAAATGTTTAGATTTTTCCTACAAAGTAGGTATGCTAAGACTGCTTTTTAGAATTTGGCTTTCTCTATTTGCTAGAGAAATATGGTCAACTACTCTGCCCAGATGAGGGTAAAAGAATTAGGCAGAGAGGGAAGGGAATGGAGAGTTTATGGGTACAAAGTTTCAATTTGGGAAGATGAAAGAGTTCTAGAGATTGATAGTGATGATAGTTGTACAATAATGTGAATGTACTTACTGCCACTAAACTATACACTTAAAAAAAGGTTAAAATGGGAAACTTTATGTTATGTATATTTTATTACAATTTAAAAGATAAGGCAAAAATATTTGCTATTCCCATCTCACTACACTCTTGAATAAATTACTTCCTAAAATAATAGTAATATTAACTAATAGTTATAACAACAATAACAAAAGACACCTCTGAGTTACTCAGGATAATGATGAGAAGCTAGGTGGTAACCAACCCTACTCCCCATCCCATAATCCCAGGGTCAGATTGCCTCAGTTACTCTTTTCCAGTCCTTACCGTAGAGGAGGCACTGGCATGCCGAGCAGCAAGAACAAGACAAGATGCATTCTGCAAAGAAAACACAACACCTTATGCAACAGTTACTCTTTCCTCCTATGTATAACAAGGAGTTATAGTGACTCATCCTCTTTCTCTCCACCTTACTTAGCCTCTGAGGACAGTCTGACATAAAAAAAAGCTGTAAAAGGCCCTGAATAGCTTTGAAGGAGTCCCCAATCTGGAGGCAATAGCAGATTTAACTCTGCATCCATAGCTTTAATAGCATTTGCTGTGGAGAGGCTCTTTCCAGTCATCTGGGTTTCATCAGGGCGGGCTTTGCTAGGCACTGAAAGGTCAGAGAGGTGGTTGTTAGAGTGCCCAGGCCAACCCAATTCAGCTGTTAAGACCTCTGCAGTGCCTAGTCTTTCGGCAGCACTTCCACCTCTCCAGCCTAGGAGAGGCCACAGGCAGAGGCTGCCTTCACCACACTTCTTCAAAGTTCCTGAAAAAAGCTCAGGAAGACAGAATACCTACAATGTAACAACAGACTACTCAATAACAGCACTGGGAAACCAAAAAACTGGAAAACTACTTTCCAAACACCGAGAGAAAAGAATTATTAAGCTAACGTATATCCAGGTGAGGAAAAAGTCTTAACAAAGGGGGTGAAATAGAGACCTTTCAGATAAAACAAAAGCTGAGTTTGTCACATACACACCTGTCCTAAAGGAATTCTACAAAGACAAATAGTATATAGCTCACCTATGTTTTCTATACTTAGAGGTTTCTCCCCACAAAAAGAAAGGCTACTCTCTATGAGATTGCTGAGGTGCAACAGAGTTCAACACTGCCTTTGAAAAAAACAACCAATTACACTACTAATCAGCTATGAAGTTTGCCAAGATTAACTTCTCTGCACAAGATTTTGAAGATAAAATGATAGTCAAAGCCACCTTCATTTTCCTCATCTATAAAAGTGGTGTTAGGATGCCTGGGTGGCTCAGTGGTTGAGCATCTGCCTTTGGCTCAGGGTGTGATCACCGAGTCCTGAGATCGAGTCCCGCATCAGGCTCCCTATATGGGGCTTGCTTCTCTCTCTGCCTGTGTCTCTGCCTCTCTCTCTCTCTCTGTGTGTCTCTCATAAATAAATATTTTTTTTTAATTTTATTTATTTATTTATTTATTTACGATAGTCATACAGAGAGAGAGAGAGGCAGAGGGAGAAGCAGGCTCCATGCACCGGGAGCCCGACGTGGGATACGATCCCGATCCCGGGTCTCCAGGATCGCGCCCTGGGCCAAAGGCAGGAGCCAAACCGCTGCGCCACCCAGGGATCCCATGAATAAATAATTAAGATCTTAAAAAAAAAATGGTGTTAAATACCCACCACATATTTCACAGGGCTGTCTTCTGATAATTAAATTACGATGATGTGAAAGCACTTGGCAAACTAAAAAGATTACACACACACACACAAACTAATCCAGGAACAAGACCAAACCTTTCCTCATTTTGTCAAAAGGCCAGATACACCTTTTCTTGTAACTACTGCACTGCTAGCTGATTGCACTGAAAATCATTTGAAGCAATAGTACTGTATAAATTCCAAAACAGGGGCACCTGGGTGGCTCAGTGGTTGAGCGTCTGCCTTTGGCTCAGGTCATAATCCCAGGATCCTGGGGTCCTGGGATGGAGTCCTGCATAGGGCTCCCTGCAGGGAGCCTGCTTCTCCCTCTGCCTATGTCTCTGTCTCTCATTAATAAATAAATAAAATCTCAAAAAATTAAAAAAAATTTCCATGCCTAAGGGGAGAATTCAGAAGGGCTGGAGATGTTTTAGAATTTAGTATCCTTCTTTTTTGGGGGCACCAGGAAGAACTGGAAAGGAAAGAGATCCTTCAGAAAAGGTGTTTTTTTTTTTGTGGTTGTTTTTTAAAGAAGGTGGGGAGGAGGAGGGAGTCTTAAGTAGGTTCTCAGAGAAGTGCAGAGCAGCCTGGGGCTTGATCCCTGAGATCTTGACCTGAGCTGAAATCAAGAGTCTGGAGACTGCCTGACTTTCTGTTTCTCCTCTCCTCTGCCCCTCACCCCCTCCCATGTGCACATATGCACACATGCTCTCTAAAATAAGTATCTTAAAAATTAAATGATTTTTAAAATAAAATAAAAAGACTCAATCCAAAGCTAAATTCAGAGAATACAAGGCAAGCTACTATGTTCCCAAAATAAAGGGGGACTGCCTCAGCTTGTTAACTCCTTTCATTAACTTTCTAAAGAATCTCTTCTGGCTCAATGGGAACCATTTGGGCAAAAAAGTAGGCAGCACAAACAGGCCTTTAGCCTCTTCACCCTTCATGGAGAAAATGGAAACCTGAACTAGTATCTAAGAAATGATTTTACCTTTTCTTATTAGTCACCACCGAGTTAACAAGAAAACATGCAAATAAATTCTGTTCCTTGCTCCATGGTCCCTAGATCCTGATATAGAAGGGCCACCTCCCAGAGACTACATCAGCCCTGCAGCAGACAGACCTTTAAATTGTGGGTGGTTGGTTGTTGTGGTTGTTTGGTTTCTAAAAAGGCTACAGGGGAACATATCATCTGAGAGGTGTTAAAATCTCTCCATAATGATCTCTTTTCCACTTTTTAATTTTTTTTTCAAAGATTTTATTTATTTATTCATGAGAGACACAGAGAGAAAGAGACACAGGCACAGGCACAGGGAGAAGCAGGCTCCACACAGGGAACCTGATTCGGGACTGGATCCCGGCACTCCAGGATCACAACCTGGGCTGAAGGCAGCGCTAAACCGCTGAGCCACCCGGGCTGCCCTCCACTTTTTAAAAAAAGATGTTATTTATCTATTTATGAGAGACAAAGAGACAGGCAAAGACATAGGCAGAGAAAGCAGGCTCCGTGCCGGGAGCCCAACTCGGGACTCGATCCCGGCACTCCGGGATCACACCTCCATCCAAAGACAGGCGCTCAACCGCTACGCCACCCAGGCGTCCATTTTTCCACTTTTAAATCAGTTTTAAGTTTCTATGATTGCAGGGGTGCCCTGCTGACTCAGTTGGAAGAGCATGAGACTCCTGATCTTGGGGTTGTGAGTTCGAGCCCCACGTTGGGTGTAGAAATTACTTAAAATCTTTTTAAAAAAAGATTCTAGGGCAGCCGGGGTGGCTCAGTGGTTTAGCGCCATCTTCAGCCCAGGCCCTGATCCTGGAGTCAGGATGGAGTCCGGTGTCAGGCTCCCTGCATGGAGCCTGTTTCTCCTTCTGCCTGTGTCTCTCATAAATAAAATTTTAAAAATAAATAAATAAATAAAGGAATCAGATGGGTCATTACTGCTGCTTCATTACAATCATTTCTCATATCTATCTGTATGAACGCTACTTTAAAACAATGCATAGGGGGGATCCGTGGGTGGCTCAGCGGTTTAGTGCCTGCCTTTGGTCCAGGGTGTGATCCTGGAGTCCCGGGATCGAGTCCCATGTCGGGCTCCCTGCATGAAGCCTGCTTCTCCCTCTGCCTGTGTCTCTTGCCTCTCTCTCTCTCTCAGTCTGTGTCTCTCATGAATAAATAAATAAAATATTTTAAAAAATAAATAGGGATCCCTGGGTGGCGCATCGGTTTGGCACCTGCCTTTGGCCCGGGGCGCGATCCTGGGGACCCGGGATCGACTCCTGTGTCGGGCTCCCGGTGCATGGAGCCTGCTTCTCCCTCTGCCTGTGTTTCTGCCTCTCTCTCTCTCTGTGTGACTACCATAAATAAATAAAAAATAAAAATAAAAATAAATAAATAAATAAATAAATAAATAAATAAATAAAACAATGCATAGGAAGAGAAACTTAGAACTACACTGTCACCCCACTTCCAACATCAGCAAAGTCTTCATTACCTTTGTACTAAGCATCTTGCCCTTTCAGGTGAGGAGCTTCAGGAATAACTTAGAGGGTTGATCTCAACTGTCCCTGATCTCCATTAGTAACACTTCTTAGACCTCCAATTTATAAAGCAATCCTGTTTTGTGGATAGTGTGGATATGCAGCTATAGAATAAAGCTAGTATATTCTGTTTCTACTGCCCTTCTCTGCTGCTTATTACCTGTGACCCCAGCCATGTCATTTAATGGTTCTGTGCGTCAGTCTCCTTATCTGTAAAATGGGAACAGTAACAGTACCCACCTTAAAGGACTGCTGTGAGAATTAAGGCAACACTTAAAAAGCACTTAAAACCATGTCTGGCAAATGCTTTGTACCTGTTATATAATAAATACATAAAATTAAACAGTATGTCCATTTTCTCACATCCTCTCTGCAGCTTAAAAGAAAACTAAAGAAATTAGAAGGATTTTAAAGGCAGCAATCCGTTGATATAACCACTCAAAAGGCTAGAATAGGAAAAATTCAAGTTAGAACAATTTTACCTAATGAGGTAAAACACAGAGCACACGATTAGGAATGTGGAAAGGTAAAAATCAAAAAATTAAAAAAAAAAAAAAAAAAAGGGATCCCTGGGTGGTGCGGCGGTTTGGCGCCTGCCTTTGGCCTGGGGCGCGATCCTGGAGACCCGGGATCGTGTCCCACGTCGGGCTCCCGGTGCATGGAGCCTGCTTCGCCCTCTGCTTGTGTCTCTGTCTCTCTCTCTGTGTGTGTGACTATCATAAATAAATCAAAATCAAAAAATTAAAAAAAAAAAAGGAATGTGGAAAGGAAATCTGGGTTTTTAGCCCCAGCTCCATTACTAGACAACAGACAAAACAACTAACTGCAGTTGACCCTTGGAACATGGGAATTAGGGATGCAGACCCCTCATGCAGTTGAAACTCTGGCTATAACTCTTGATTCCCCCAAAACTTAACTACTAATAAACTACTGTTGGCTGGAAGCTTTACTGAGAACATAAACGGTCTATTAATACCTATCAAATATTATATGTTACATACTGTATTCTTACAAAAAAGGTAGAGAAAATGTTAGTAAGAAAGTCCTAAGGAGGGCAGCCCTGGTGGTGCAGCGGTTTAGTGCTGCCTGCAGCCTGGGGTGTGATCCTGGAGACCCGGGATCAAGT